CAGATTAACCCGAGTTGCAATGCTTATGTGGCAAACCAGCCACAGAGCTTTTCAGACGTAAGTCTTCATCGTGCCATGCTTTACATAAAATTGTTTGTGCTAACAATAATTAGACATACTGGCTCGTCAACTCTGTCAAGGTGTACAGTGTCTGAAGACTTGAGGACCCCTCTCCTACTCTTTCACTCCATCTTTTCCTCCAGTCTATGATCATCTGGTTTTGTTTTCAATGTAAATACCTTTTCTCCTACATTATACTGCCATGGAGGGACGGGTTTGGACAACTGCTCTATACCAATTTTCTCTTTGTTCAATATGGCTTTCTTGTACATACCTCTCTCATTCTCTACATATATCCAAAGCTTCTACTGCGTGTGAACAGCTTCTCTCAATGCTTCGATTTCACCCTTTTGCCACTCGGTAACCTTGCCTTGCCACTTCTCACCTCTGCCGCCACCCTTCGCTGTGCTCACAACTTCCTTGACCTTCACGGCCATCTTCTCTACCAAGTCTGGTTTGCCAAACACAACAATGGATCCGGAGCTCTTAATCTCACCCGAACACAGCACAACAACAACTTCTCGCTCTTTAACGAAATCCTTGATTTCAAAAAGGACTAGATTGATGAAATCGAGACCATCCGCTCCACGATGCATGAATGCGGTGGTCTGGCCTTGCAAATGGCTCCTTATGCGGTCCCCCTCAAATGCTGCAATCTCGGCTAGTAACTTGTTGACTTTCTTTCGTCCTTCGGAGACTTGGTCACTTATCCTTTGCACACCAGCCGCGACGTCTGCAGGGGCAGAACCAGATGATAATGACACAGCAATGGAGCGAAGACCAGTGATCGACTCGGTAGCCATCTTTATCGCACGATCTCCCGCGGTGAAGAACAGCCGGCAGTTGGTACCTCGTACGGACTGCATATGGTGTAATAATATGATGTTGATGTGCGACGAGTTTTGCAGATGCGTCCCGCAACAAGCGTTATAATCCATGTCACCAATCTTGATGAACCGTACAACGCCTTTCTCTCTGTCATAGTCTTCTGGTAGGCTGTCGCTTCCCTTGCCTTCTGGTGTTTCCACTGTAATAGGCATACTCTTCCTGATCTTGGCATTGCATTCCGTTTGGATGGTTTGAAGCTCCTCTTCTGACGGTTTCCGTGGCAGTTCGACGTAGTTCATCTCTCCAGGTTGACCCATACTCCACCCAAGGGTGGGCAGATCCATAGAGTCCATGACGGCGGAGAGGAGATGCTGACCGGTATGCTGTTGCATGAGATCCCAGCGACGGGCGAAATCGACAGTTTGACGAACTGGTGTTCCAGGCTCAAGTGGTGCAGGGGAGAAGTGGATGCAACGGAGACCATGACGTTGCATACTTCTTATCGGGATATCTTCTTTGTGCCCGTCTTTGAGGATGGTGAGCACGCCGTAGTCTGTGTGCTGGCCACCACCTTCTGGGAATAGTACTGAGTCTGCGAGCTCAACAAGCCATGTTTTGCTTCCTGCTACATCCCCATTCTCAAGGCCCTTGGTCGGATCCGTGGACTTCTTCGTATTTGACTTGCCATTTGACTGTGAGGACTTTGGCGGCACGAATTCCTCGCACGATACGACTTCCGTGTCGAGCGTTTGCAGATAAGAATCTTTCTGGCATCGTAAAGCGCCTACAACGGCTGGAGTAATAGCTGTGGTAACTCCCATAGTGACAAAACTGCGCGACTGAAATCCAAGAAGAGAAAGTCGAATGGCAGGTGAGGTATGACTCGATGTTCGGAGCGAATTCGAGCGAAAGACAGAGAAGCCAAGGGAAATAGTGCACTTAGTCACAGCGTTGACTACGGACATGGATGGTCACGGCTTGGTAGACTTGCTGCAACCGTTCCAGCGCCATAAGCAAGGAATCAAAGTTCTATACAAGCTGTATGATATCGAGAGATCTATGTGCAAACGGGTGGGATGGCTGGTATTCTGAGACTAGACCGCAATGGGATTAGCCTCTTTCCGTCGGATCAGAGCGCGTTGAAGGCTGTTACAATGCCACTTTCAACTGCTCTTCACAGCATGGCGTGACGAACACAGTCTTCAGAACGCGCTCTATTGTTTCCAGACGTGCAACTGGTGGCGACTTTCGTGATGGAGAACAGGGCGGAGTTCGAACGCCTACCGCTTCATGGTTTACAAGCGATGATGACGTACTCGAAGCCAAAAGTCGCAAAGCTTTCGAAGGTCTTCTTTTGATCAGTGCTAATGAACAGATTACTGACCTCCATCCTCACAATGTCGCGACCGAAGAAGCCCACACACGCGGCTGTGACGCACTTCGTCGAGACGTTTCTACCACTGAAAGAGAACGATGTCCAGCGACTCTACCACGTACCACGACATCCTCGATACGACGCCCAGACGGCTGTAGTCGAGCAGATTGTGCTGAGCGTTACTCCTACGCCAGGCGTCTACTCATTGATCGGCTACCCACTAGACGAGAGCACGATCGGCGCAACGGCCACCATCCCCAAGATATATCCTCGGCCGCCACGGACGCTGTGCTTACTGCATCGACCCTTCAACCTCGATAGGCGCAGTGTGCGCAAAGGGACGCTCGTACTTTCGAGTCACACGTCTTTTGATGAGGTGCTCACGGTGGGTTGGAACACGGTGCTGGCAGAACGTTTGGGAATAAAGACGACAGACTGTCTTTGTGTCCAGGGCTACAAGGGAGACCCTCAGAGGAAGATTGGGATTATAGGCCAGGTCTCTACACCTCTTCACAAACTTCTTGGTCGCATACAGGTCGAGTTTGGTGAGTCAGAACTCGCGCAAGAAGGGCACTCGGGCGAGATTAGTATCGTCGCGATCATGAACGCGTTTAACGAGGACGAGGTGCATCGCGTGTTGGCAATGGCTCAGGAGCGTGGCTGGATAGCAGAAGGTGGAGATGGTAGCCATGTCCTTTACTTGACTGGCCAACCAAGAGCCAGTGGCATAGAAGCCGCGAAAGCGCTGGGCATGTCGGTAGCCTGCGTGGGGCATCGGCAAGCTGAGGACTGGGGTATACACTTTCTAGGTGAAGAGCTCAGGAAGGAATTTCCTGGTACACAAGTGAAGGAGATTTACGAGGAGGAGATACCTATTGTAAGAGAGAAGAAAGTACCTATCGTGCAACATGTTGGTTAATGACGCCGCTGGCAAGCCCCTTCTGGTGTCCTACTCATCCTGCAGCACCTGTTGTCTTTCGCTCTTCCGTTACCTCTGTATGCTGGCTGCCAATCCTGCCATTCGCGTATCTCCACGAGACGTTCTTTCCCATGCGGAGAAGTTGCGGCACGACGCGGTTTCCTCTATTTCAAAGATTGTAATCTCGCGCACTTCATCTCAGGCTTCGACGCCAAGCAAGCCTACCTCCGAGCCTTGAATGCTGCTCTTCCTGTGATATTTCGCCATCCATTGGTCTGGTCTTCAGAACCTTGGCACATTGCGATCATAGCCTTCCAGGGTGTCCTCTCCTTGCTTAGATACTATCAGTACTGACGTTACTGGCCTATGGACGAGTCCCGGGAAGTGTAAGACTCCATCGCTTGACCAGGAGCTTCTGAAATCGCCTCCCTCGAAACGCAAATCGAGCGTGAAGCCATGTCCTCGCTCAATGACCATCATCTGTGCTACCAGGCAGCTAATGGTGGAGAGAGCACAACGCCCGATCTGTTTGGAGGAGAACAGTTGCACCTCAAATGATGGCAAGGAAGTGGCACTAGTCAAAATGGGACGCTCTCATGTTCTCTGCCGGGAGTACATCGAGACACTTCTCCTCGAGCACAAACTGTCCGCTGCCGTGCCGTGGCGCCTACCTTCCCCTACGACCGGATGCTTGCGAGCTGTTTGCCGCTGGGGCAAGTGGGGATACGCCGGCAGGGTCGCTTGTGATGTCAGTCCGTGCTAAAGAGATGCTTGGTAGCATTAAAGATGCCCTTCGCCAGCTTGCTCAACAGGGTGACGCCTATACGCTATCAAAAAACAATAACACCGAACAAATCCCCCACACTCATGTTCGCACAACATTGAAGCGATACTGATGGCAATCCCACCCGGTACTTGACCTTGCTGAGCTACTTGACCCTTTCTTGCTCGCCGTTAACGTCGAGGATACTCGCCATCGTTATGGCCCAGAGCTTAGCGCACCCAAGCTCAACCATACTCACGTCCTATCCCGCGAAATTGATCCTGATGACTATCAGCTTGAAGAAGAGTCATGGATGGCTGCTTTCTTTCGTCAATGGGCTCTGGATCACGAGGAGGAGCACGGAGCGATGGAGGAAGGCTGGGGCGTTTGATCTTTGAAGGCAGGTGAAGACACGAGCTGGGAGTGGCCCTGTAAGCGGATATAAGCGCACAAGGCTGGGAGTGACGGATGTATTGAGTGTCTCGTAAATTGGGTAGGGCAACGTCACTTGGCACCTCGGGTCAAGAAGGAGCAGCTGGTTGCTGAGGCTCGCGACGTCTATGACAAAGTACATGGACTAGTTCACATCCAGAAAGATGGTAGGACTTGAGAAATGCACGGCCGGAGCTTGGAACGACATACATCACACTATTTTTTGTGTGGGAGGTTATGGTTGTGGTCGCATATGATGTTTTTCTATCACTTCCTGTACTTCTACAATTCAAAGCATTGGAAGAATGCAAACATCATGCAACTGTTGTCGTGAAGATGCTACACACTATACTGTTCTGGCAATCCGCCACCTCGTTTTCTTACCTTTCTACTACAGTCGCTGATTATTGATGCAGATATTGCCTGTGTGGCCCGAGAATGCTACGCCATGTTACCAAAAAGCTCAAATGTGTCCTTCTCCCCACCAAATCCAAGTCTGACAAAGCTACAAGGCAAGCCAAATCCCTGCGAACGAATCGCATCATGTGCGTCTTGTAGAGACTGAGCCAACGGTTAAGTTGCATCCGCTGACAAGTTCAAGCCATCCTACGTTCCATCTCTTCATGAGACTCCCGAAGGAACTTCGACTTATGATATGCGACAACATCATAGGAACTACGCGTCGCCAACTCCCTCTCACTAATGCCCGAATCTACTACGATTATTTACACTCAGCAATACTCCAGACATGCAAGCAAGTCGCAGAAGAAGCTGGTCCTATCCTGCACCGTCGAAGAATTGAAATTTTAGGCCTCCCAGTGCTGACCATTCGCATCAACCCGAACCGTCACGACAGCGCCTTATATTTCATCAAACACCTGCTTAAACTCATTCGTGAGTGCCGTGCAGCAGAGATTGAAGAAACAGGAGCATCAGCCAATGTCATTCTACCATGGTTGTTTAGCGGTGACAAAGACCGCAACATCCGAATAGGCACGTTGTTCTCTGTTGAACTTTCGCAAAGCAGTCCCATCACAAATGGCCGCAAGTTCCAGGATTTCTTTCAGCGCACGATGCGACACATGCGGCGGCAATCAACAGTCGTTGTTCGTCTCCTTGTTGATGGCCTGTTTCGCACGCACCCATTCAATATCATGGAATTCTGGAGTAAGACTGCTGTCGATCTTGAGCAATACTCTCGCATGATCAACTTCCGCTTTGTGTTCGTGGTGCCAAAGCAACAGCTCGAAAGTTACAAGGGGTTGGCGGTTAGGCCGAGATCTGTTCCGCCTTGGATTACGGAGGATATGTCGTCTGTCGAAGCAGCAAAGAGAGGTGGTGTTGATCCGGCTGTCGATTAAGTCTTACTGTTCGCTTAGATGTGAGATTAGGCATGCGATGCATATCTGTACATGTTTTCGAGGCCGTTGCATGTGTGAGACATATGCATGCGTGCTGCCGGCTTCGTATCACCAATTGGTGTTGCTGGTTGCGGCCCCCAAAGCCCGCCACGTCCTTGGGGGGACGCCTCACAATGTGCGCATGATCGCAGCTTCCTTTCTCTGTCTCGCCTGTACAGTCTTGCGGCGCGTGTAATTAACAAGATGCCGGAGATATCCTTTGTGTTTGGGCCGCGAAACAGCTTCTTCTTCGACTGTCCTCAAACCTGGAAATTGTAAGCATGGTAAAGAAAGACGCAAGGCATGGCTAACAGCGTGCAGTCATGAAATCCCGCATACGCTTCGTCAGTTGTTCAATAGCTCCATGAGCCCAGAATGGAGAATCGCTAGCCCTTATTGCCTCGCCCTCGCGCCCCAGATAGACTCCCCAGAGCCGATCTGGTATGCAGGTTGCAAGACTTTAGATGGGGAGGATAAGCTCTGTAAGTGCCTGTCCCGGCCTAAACTCCGCGGCCATGAAACGCATGGCAGATGGCGGTGCGGGCCAGGCCCCTCTTGTCCAATATGGAAACTAATCAAACACAGTCCACTCGCAAATGTACTTCGATGTCAACTATCCTGATCTCGCGCGATGGATCAAGTCGTTCCCAAATGCGGCCCGCTCCTGTTTTGTGACCTTTGGCCAGAACTTCAGCTACTTCGCATGCGCACCCGGACATGGCTCGATATGGGCCGGTATACCTTCGGACCTTGAGAGCAGAGTGAAGAAGTCGCTAGTTACACCAACTTGTGTTGGCATTGGAATGAACGACGCTTGGTTCGTCTTGTTCTCAAACGGCGATTTGGCGTGGAACTTGAGAGGTTATTACAACTCTTTGAATAAGATCCTTGCTGAAGCTGCGCCGGGTACAGTTAATGTAAGTACAGAGGATATGTTCCGATTGATCGCATGAGTGCAGTACTGATGTTGCCAGTACGTCGCCATTTCGCCGTATAACAAGCAACACTACTTCATCGCATTCCAGGACCGGACCGTCAAGTACAACTTCCAAGGAGCTCCTTCAGAATGGATGCGACTCATGACTGAAGTATTCGATCTCTGGGCCGTTGAGCACTCACGAATGCAACATACCGTTCCGCTACAGGCACAATCATATGCGCATGCGCAACAAGTACCAGCGCAAACATATCTTCAACCGCAGTCAACGCATATCATCAATGCTTCGCGGCTACCTATGGCCATTCCGGTGTCGCCACAATCGGCACCGAGCTCACCATTGCCTATATACACAAGCCCTATACAGCAGAATGCGGTACCAGCTGTCGCATTCGTGGAGAAGACGCCGCACTACGGTATTGCAAAGATGCCAGTAGAGCTACCTGGGAACGCATTACTCTCTGCACCAAACACAGCGACAGGATTACCGGAAAAAGAAACAGGAAAAAAGAGAAAAAGCTTTCTATCGAAGCTGTTCTAGGCTACCATCGCTCAGGTCTCAGATTCCGGTTCCGCGATTATTAACCTCGGAATTGCGCGATGTTGTGTGCTTGTGACAAGAACTTGCAGCTTGTATGCGTCGGAAACTTCGCAGATATGCAAGGTTCGTACTGACCTTCCTGATTGGCGCGGACTGCCGAACATGCACTGCCGATCGCGCTGGATATGCTTGTCCACCACAAGAGTGGGAGGGCTATCACGTCACGATGCAGGCCCTTTTCGGTGCTTCTCAAGATACGCCCTATCATCGCTAGATTCGGGATGCAGCTAGCTACGACATACAAGTACAGGTTCTCCGCATTCAAGTTTCTTACAGTATTCTTCCCGCCAGGTACCAGTCAGCATCATGGCAACCATCACAAGAGCTTGGAAAGTGGGGGTCTTAGCAACGTGCTTCCTGACAACAATAGCGAGTGCTGCGGGGCCTACAGTCGCTGTTTTGAATGGAACATATGAAGGCTTACATCTTCCCTCGTTCAATCAGGACCTCTTCTTAGGCATTCCGTATGCGCAAGATACCGGAGGTCAGAATCGTTTTCGCATACCACAGTCTTTGAACTCGACATGGAACGGCACGCGCCCCGCCAAATCATACGGAGATACCTGTCCAGACCCATCAGATACTAGCTTCAGCATGAGCGAAGACTGTCTGAGCATCAATATTGTTCGCCCAGCTGGTTTTTCAGCTGGCGATCACGCGAAGCTGCCAGTTGCATTGTGGATTCATGGAGGCAGTTATCAAGTTGGCACCAGCGCGCTTGCGAATTATAACCTCACATATATTGTCCAGCGAAGCGTAGAGATTGGACGACCTATCATTGCTGCTAGTATCAACTACCGTAAAGGCGGATGGGGTATGATGTACTCTCGAGAGATTCAGGGTACCGGCCAGACAAACCTCTCACTTCGCGACATGCGAAAAGGACTCGCCTGGATCTCAGAGAACATTGGAGCCTTTGGCGGCGACAAGAACACAGTGACCATCTGGGGCGAGTCTGCTGGAAGCTTTGCAGTAGGCCAGCTACTCATGTCCTACGGTGGCCGTACAGATGGCTTGTTTCACCGCAGCATACAAGAGTCCGGATCTGCGGCAACGGCTTGGTATAATGGTGAGTAAGAGACGTCTCTGTAGAACTCTATGTGATTGACACACACTAAATTGACATACGCGCCTTCTAGGTACTGATTGGTATCAGCCCATCTACGACAACGTCGTTAACAAAACGAACTGCTCTAATGAAGTTGACACATTGGAGTGCCTGCGCACAGTGCCTTATGAGATTATGTTCCCGTTACTTGCGGATCCAGTTCAAGGTCCCGGTTGGTACCCAACTGTCGATGGAGACATCATTCCTGCCTATCCTACGGAACTGCTCGCTTCAGGCCGTTTTGCTCATATCCCCCACCTCTACGGTACCAACTCTGATGAAGGTACCGACAACGCGCCTGCGGACGGTGTCATCAACACTGACGAAGATCTTCGTGCCTACCTCGCCGGCAGCACAGGCTTCGACTTCCCTGATACGGTTGTCCAGCATATCATGGAGCTCTATCCCAACGACCCCACCCTGGGCATACCCCTTAACACTGGCGTGCAGCTTTTTGCAGAGCAGGGTCTCCAGTACAAGCGCATAGCTGCCATCATGGGCGACGCATTCTACCATGCACCCCGCCTCACGGACGCCCGCGCTTACTCTAAATACTCGCCCACGTATATTTACCGCTTCAACACGCTCCCCTGGCAGAACGACAACACTGCTAATGAAGGCGGCAGCGCGCGCGCATACAAGGGTGTCGCGCACTTCACAGAGGTGGCTTTTGTCTTCGCCAACCCCAACTTCTATGGGCCGTGGGAGGAGTACAGAGCGTTAAGCAACCAGATGAGCGCGCAATGGATTAACTTTGTTGCTAGTGGTGATCCTAATAGCAAAGCATTGCCACTGTGGCCGCAGTACAACGAGAGTGCACAAGGATTTGATCTTGTTATCCAGGCAAAGGGGAGAGGGTACAATGGGAGCTATGTTGAGGAGGATACTTGGAGACTTGAGGGAAGGGAGTATTTGAGCAAATGGGCTAGGAGAAGGCATGTTTAAGAGCGCAGCCACAACTTAAGTTCAGGTACTTCCCATAGACAATGACTACATCATAATGCATATTAGTAGCATGCGACATGGTCTGTGATGTAAGAGTACGCAGCAAAGGTATATACATTAGGTAGAATTAGAGGCATAACATTGTCGAAAGTAGGAGAAACCTAAGGTTGAATGAAGTGACACATCTTGTGCAAGAAGCACTAAGCTAGAGACGAAAATATAATCAAGCCAAAAGTGAAGTTGGTAAAAGACACAATTGAGCCAACAGGTGTTCTTGGGAGAGCAGCCATATCAAGTAAGAAGAACGAGTGAAGAAAAAGGTGATTGATCAAGAAGTCAAGTCAAGCAAACAAGAGAAGAAGTCTTGTGAGACAAATGAATGCATTGATGCTGAGGCGATACCATGAAGAAGAAGAAAGAGTGAAGTCCAACCCAAGTCCAACCAAGATTCAATCCAACCCGATGAAGCCCAAATCCACCAGCCATCAGCATAATGTCCAAAGCTCTCAAACCCAATCCAAACATCGACCATCGACCATCGACTGCAGGTGTGTTCACATCAAGTCTCTCATAACCTTTCGCATGCTGCATTTCTCGAAGTTGATCCAAACCCATAAGGGCCGCCATCGAGGTATGCAGGGGTGATGATCTGGGCCGCGACGAACGACAAGCTAGCGGACTAACATCTCCAAGGTAGGCCCAGCTTAGTACCGAAGCACCATAGACTGTCTGTCCTCCAGCACCTTGATGTGAGAATGAATGTCCTCCAGATCATCAACCACCAGCCATGAGGTCTGCCGAAGCAGCCTTGTAGGCCCAAAGCGAGATCCCAGCGAGATCTGTATATTCCGCCTCTTACTGTCTTGACCATAAGTCCTGCACTTCCCACCAGTATGCCAATCCTCCATCCGCTGCTCGTGAGGCCACCTGCAATCCGTCTTGCACCCTGTACCTAATCCTCCTGACGTTGTACGACTCGAGCGGCCGTGAGCATGCGATGCTGCCGTGATGTGTGGAAGGCGGCCTGAATAGGGCTTGAGGATGCTGAGCAGGCTCTATGGTGGAGAGCTGAAGAGGTTGAAGCGGTCCGAAGGCAGCATGCTGAATTTGGAAAGGTTAGCAGGCTGATGATAAGAAATGAAAGATGGGGGAAGAAAGGACGGAGGGAGAGGATAGTTACCATGCTCAAAGTCGAAAGAGGAAGGCGAATGATTGGCCATGGCTCAGGGTGATCAAAGGTTGTTGATGATCATCGATAGAGGTCATGTTGGATCAAGGTTGGACCAAGGTTGATTGAAGTGTTGATGACCAAGTAAGGTGTGATTGTTGTTGAGCAGTGATGTTAATTGAGGAAGATTGATGCTCATAACGTTGCAAGTGGCCGAGATATGCAAGTGAAGGTGTAATGTCATGTGACAAAATCGAAGTGATCCGGAGTGGTGTTGGAGTGTTGAGCCATGGTCGAATTAAGTTGGAGAAAAAGGCTTGATTTGACGTAAAGTGACAGGATGATAGAGAGGTTTGAATTGAGGTAGAATTTGTTGTCGCTAGTAGAAAAAGAGTGTAGGTGGAAGGGTGGAAACGTCCTTTATATATGCGAACTACTGGCCCAAGCGCGGACAACGCTAGGAGCCGGGACTCAAGCTCTGGCCGGGGTTCTGCCGGTGACAGTGAGGTGTAGGTGGGCTCAATAGAGCGGGTATAGAAGGTCTTCGTCGGCAGTGGAAGGGCGGACGCGCGGGCATGGCTAGGTGAAGGTGGAAATCCACCCAGTAGGGGCACGCAAAGCGACATGGTCCGAGCGGCAACTTCAGGTGAGAGCGACTCGGAAATCGGGCACACAAGGCAGCAGTTGAAAGTGTGCGAGACGCGTTTTGGCTTGATTGCAGTCACTGAGGTTGAGCTGAACAGCCAGTGCGACGGTGTAGGAGAAGAACAGACAAGCGAGCATGAATAGAAGCGAGAAGATCATAACATAAAACAAAAAATTGGATTATGCGCTCTCCTCACAGCAGACATTGATTTTTACATCCTCAATGTGCAAGACCTCTTGAGCATGGCGCTCTGATGTACCTAGGTGACAACTAAAGAGGTTTTTGGCGAGGTTCTTAAAACAACAATCGCAGAAGATAGGCGTGGGAAGCAACCAAAAGTCTTGTTTATATAGTGTGAGCTTTGATTGCCTTAGAGCAAATCCTGCTGTAAGTCGAGTCAGTCTAGATGAGCTGAGCAAGTCTGTGTCTGAGAAGCAGTGAGCTATGACGTGACTTCATGTTCTCCAAGTCAAAATCTTCATCGTCGACATCAATAATGACGCTCTCTTTGCGAGGAGTTTAAGATGGCCTACATGCCGACTGTTAATGAAGTGGGTGTCGGACTTGCAACTCTGCCAGCAGCAAGCTACGCATTCGCGCCTGCAGTGAACGCCGACATTCAAACGTTGACAGCGATAGATAAAAGCGCCTGCTCCGCTACCAACCGCGCAAAGCTTCTCACTCCCGTTGCTGGGATTGCTCTTAGTCCGCTATGCACCACCGCTGATGCCCACTCGTGCCGGCTGCAAGGTAACATGGAGGCTATATGGCGTGCTGCATGGGCACTGTACTCGGTAGACACATATACTCCAAAGGAGATAGCTGGACAGCAATACTCGGCAGGACAAGAGGACTAGAAATAAGCCACCTACGGGATGCTGTTGTAGCAGCACGGCAGGTAGACAACATGTCACATATTTAAACAGCCTAGGAGATAATGATAGTTGCGAGGAAGTAGGTTGAGACACACACAGTATTGGCAGGACAGCTATTGTAAAAAAGCAGAGCGCACGATAAGCTAGGTATTCGAATCAAAGATGTGGGAATTCATGGTCGATGCGGTGGCTACATTAGAAATGCGCATATATTGGGGGCTGACAAGTAATGCAAAACTTATCAAAAGAGTCCGGATCCTCTAGAGAGCCCTCGTAGGACTATGTGCAACCTTTGAGTATCATAGAGAGCTCATCAAGGTAATGTCGTGATTCAGTCTTGCCACAGACATGATTCGAAGAATCGCCCTCAGACTTGGAAGAATCATTTCGAAGTCGTTCTCGGATGCTGCGATTGCGTTGAGATGGCACTCGAAGAAACTTTCGCAACTTCAGTGGCCGCCGGAAGAACGCTCTTATCGAGCTCGTGGCTTGCAGCAAAGGGTGATTACCCTGGAATAGAGCCCACTCTGTGATAACGGACGCTTCATGGATGCGATTCAACCTTCAGCGCATGTCTGGGACCAGTACAGCGCCGCGCCAATCACCTAGTTCTTGATCATACCGTTTCGTATACATCGGTATCCATCCTCATCCGGTATGCGTGTGGATCCAAAAGTCTCTCTCTACCATCCTTCCTTCATCGATACCAGCGAGTACTCCCCGGATCCACTGTGGCGGCCCAGGTAGTTCCCTCTTGCCTTCTGCTGTGGCATCCATAGCATGACCCGTCATTGGACAAGTTACAAAGCCACGGTGTTCAACTAATTTGCCAACCTCTTCAACTATCTTTAGGCCCTCTCTGGCATTGGCCTTGGCAGCGTTGAGGTTGTCGCGGCGCTCTTGCAGCTTGCGCTCCATCCAGGATGAGGCCTCGTCGATGCCACGGGAAGCGAGGCGCTGGAAAGAACAGAGGAAGCGGTTGATTATGTCGATGAGTATACGATAGAGGAGTTCAGTCGCGATTGCTGTACCAGTCTGCTGGCTGAACAGACGCGACGAGATGAGCGAGGTTGAGTATGAACGTGTTGACAGCGCATTTGATGGCCCCGGACGATAAAGCGTGAGCGAAGAAGATGCCGCCATTTTAGGTGTGTTGCTGGTTTGATTGAAAGGGAATCTTAATTATAAGTTTGTCAATGAGGGGCTTCGATGCGCTGGAGATGAATATCCTTGAGCCAAAGGCATAAGCAGCGAGCCTTCTACCTTTGTATGCATCATTCCTCAATACTACGCGAACCCTACCACTGATAGCATTTGCGATGCACCAATGAGCTGTAGAATTGGATGCATAGTGGCCCACTGGATAACTCGATATGCCCATGATCGGGGGTCATTGCTACCGACCGCGAGATGGGCATCATGCGATCTGGAACGCCTCGCCGGCTTCCACGGACTGCGAGCTGCAGCGCCCCACCATCTCCAAGCCCGACCAACCAGGTGTTCCCGTGTCTCTCAAGAGCTTACGCACGTAGATGAGACTCATTGCCGGCGGTATATCTCACCGTGCCATGCCATCTCTACAATGTCTGCACGGGCAAATCCAACTCAACCAGCCAAGGTGGGTGTTCAAGCACGCCTGGCTCATCACCCTCCATTGCTGCGTTGACGCACAGAGTCTGCTGCTTATTCTCTCGAAATTCTTGAGCGGCGCCCGGAGTCAAGCTTCTGAATCCTTTCTTACGACATGAATTCTCTCCCATCCATACTTTCGATATCGATCCAATGGGATCGCCTTCCAGCACCGTTTGTCCTTCGTGCCTCAGCACATGCGCTTCGTAGAAGCCGCGACGCGGCGAGTGAATGTGCCCAAAGCAATGCAATCGTGGTTGCACCCTCGCGATAGCGCGTCGCAAATGTTCACACCCCGCACTATGACCGTCAATCTCGTCAAGTGTGTATCTCGCTGGGCCGTGGGTCATGACGATGTCAACGTTGTTGGGAATGGTCGAGGTCTCGGTACCGACGTTCTGAGCCCACGACGGGGTGCCTGCAGAGTTGAATCGGTCTTCTTTAGAAGGATACTGGAATGCCGATGCGCCGTAGACAGGAGTGTATGGTGATGCGTATATCCTGAAAGTCGCGCCGCATGCTAGCGTGAAGGTATATGTACCTTCCCATAAGAAGGTGATGCCATTCTCGCTCGCCTCTGAGCTTGCCTTCGGGCTCACCATTCCGAGCGCTCGTTCTGTATCAGCATCTTCTCCGCCCTGGGACAGCCAGTAGGACTTGTCCAGCGATATTTCGTGATTGCCACTAATGACAAGTTTCAAGTTAGCTTTAACCTTGCCTAGATGTTGGAGGGCTAGAGAGATGCTTTCTGGGGTGCCGTCTTCGGTCAAGTCGCCGCAATGAAGCAGCACATCGCATGGTGGCAGATTTTCTGGTAACTTAGCCCCATGTGTGTCAGATAGTATGAGGAATCGAACAGGCGTGGAAAGAGAGTGGTTGCCTTCGGGTCGGGTTTGATCTGCGGATGTTGAAGCCACCATGAGAGGATTTTCGGGTCGAAGTGCACGAGGGTAGGAAGTATCGGATATGTAGTCTAGCATGCTGGTCTAAATAGGGACCATGGTAGACTAGTAACAGTCAGGGACCCATGTACCAGTCAAGTATCATAGATAGATCGTTGTATCCTATAGCACGCGCTCGAAATTGCTGTATGAAGTCACATCAAGCTTGAACAAGACTGCAATATGCTAATCAAGGATAGTTTAATAATACAAATATTGAAGACATTATATTAGCGTATGAATGGAGATATCTGAATCGACCAAAGCAGTAGGAAACAACCTGGTTGTTGTCCATCAGCATAGTGATCCACCACTATATACTTGCTCCAACTACAAGCTTGCCAAAAGCTGAGGTAGCACGCTCTGGCTGGTGTAAGCCCAGCTGGAAGAGCTGTCATGCGCCCTCCACGCGGCACCTGTCCAGAAAGTGTTGCGCTTGCTTTGCAGTCCGTACAGATGCTTGTAGAATCCGGCGCGGGTAGCCTCCTCACCGACCAACATGTTGTATGGGCTGTGGTTGCTGAATGCGACGAACTCCGGCTCAGTCTCAGTCATATTGTTGGCAGCCTGGAAGCGCTTAAGGTCCGCGATGATCGCAGCCTTAGCCTCCTCGTCGCTCAGATGCTGACCAACCTTGGTGCCGTAGTAGACGAGACTTAGAGTTGGGTTGGCGGTGGGGTTGACATTGTAGATAGCAGGCATGGGTGGCAGCGCGTATGGCTTGTCAAGAGCGAGATTCTGAAGTGTGATGTTCGTAGGGCCAGCGTTTCTGATGATAGAGGTGTAGTATCCGACAGATGTAAATTGGTTGAAAATCTTCAACTCATCGCCGCTAGGGTCGAATTTGGCGAGGTTCTCGGGAGTAGGGGGGATAGCCATAAGGATCTTCTTCGCTTGAATGAGACGGCAGCCCATCGGTGTTTCGACAAGGACCTTGACGCCGCCATCAGCCTTGCTCACACGCTGCGTCTTGGTGACTTTAGAGGATAGAAGAACAGAGTTGGTAGCCTGGAGTTCGGCTGTGAGTTTCTCGAAAAGAAGGCTGTTGTCCATTACCGAGCTGGTCTGGAAGTTCTGCATAGTCTTCAAGAGACCAAGGGAAAAGGTGCGCATCTGCTGCAGAGCGGGGAGCTCGAGGATGTCACCAAAGGCGGAAGTGAGACCGAAGATGGTTTGTACCGCATCAGCGATGTCGTACTTTTGGACGAACTGGCCGAAGGGCATGTACAGATCCTCGGGAACGGGATCTGGCAAATAGAAACCACCCTCGAGTTGAGGATATTTGGCGAGAACCGCACCGTACTTCTGCAGAGCAATAGCCATGGCTGTCTGGTTAGGAGCAGGCAGACCCTGCAAAACCTGCCCAGTCCTGAAGTCAACATTCTGCGTCGGGAGAGCAGGGATGCTGAACCGGGTAGTGGAAAGGTTGAAGCGTGCGAACCATTGGTGCACCAAAGGTTCGTCGTGGTATAGCTTCACACCCATATCAATGGGAATTCCAGTCTCGTTATCCATGTAAGTCTCTGTGTGACCTCCCATACGGGATTTGCTCTCAACGACCACAACCCTCTTTCCTGCGTCCTTGAGTTGGATAGCAGAGTAGGCACCCATACCGCCCCCACCAATAATCACGACATCGGTATCGATAACCTGCTCCGGCTTATAGTAGCTGGCATCCATCTTGTTGGCCTTGTTGGGCGCTGCGATGGCCAAAGGAAGGGCGACCACCGCGGCGGCGGCAATAGAAGCAAACGAACGCATGACTGGAGTAGTTTTGCAGGGAGATAAGAAAGGTAAGGAGTGTGTGGTAATACTTCTCTTACCGACCACCAGACGTGTTGTATTTATATGATCAAAACATAGCGAGTGATTGTATATGCGGTGGCTCTTCCGGCTCGGTCCTACTGTGTAAGCTGAAGTGTAATTAAAAGTAAGACCGCACTGTCGGAACAATCGACGACAAGCATCACGACTAAGTTCATGCGGGTTGGCAATAGCCCGTCAATAGGGGACTGGGCCGGGGTCTCACGTGCTGACGTAGCGCCGTGGCTATTGCATTCGATGCGTAGGAATCAAGGGCTAGAATGTCGAATAGCTTGCGGTTTGACTATCTGAAGCCTAGAGGGAAGCTGTATAAGAGCGTTTAAGTGCAGTATGGTACTACCAAAGCTAAGTTTGTGACGGTGCCTGATGGTTTGGGGTGATACTCTCTAGTGCCGATTGCAAGAGCGCGGACCTTGTGCTTTGACATTGATCACCGGTATTGCTGACCGTTGGACTCTTCTCCAGATCAGGCGCAGTACCTTGATGAGTCTCGCCGCTGTCTTGATGCCATTGCTCATGCTGACCCCGCTGAAGCGCCGCGTTCGGAGCGTTCGCCCGACTCTTGGAGGAGTTCGTGGTCTGTCGAGAGTCTGTCGTTGGCACGATCTTCGGTGGCATCTCCGGAGCATTGACGGTGTGGACGAAATGAGAGGAGATTTTGACTTCACCCACCGTGAAGCTGCGTGGAGGTCTACAGGTGTAACCGTTGCGTAATCTATGTTTCTAATCATGCTCGTTCTGCTTCCAACAGAGTTCTTACCTAGCCATGAAAGTTCTGTACACGCTCATATATCACAGTGGAAGCGCCTCCGCAGAGCTTGGAAGTACGGCAGTGCAAGGCGTCCTTGGTATCACCTACCAATGATGATATTGCGGAGAAGGTTACCCTGTTTTCGAGACGGGGCGATACGTGATGGTAGATGTCAACAGTGTCGCCACTATTCTCAATGGGAAGCTAGCATCATGTGTCTTACATTGCGACGCGCGCAACGCGCAGTTGATGTCGGTGAAATTATGACAGGATAAGTTGTTGGTGTTGACGTGTGGTTAGAACCCGCGGTAGAAAAGACGGTTAATGTCTAGCCTTGCTGATGGCTAGGTGCAGATCCAACGGTGGGTATTCGCTAGTACTTCCTCAACTACACTTGCAGTAATCTGCCGGCTGGGTACGTTGGATAAGCCAAGCTACCGAGAAGCCATGTAAGACGAAGATCGCTTTGTAGCTGTGTTCTGGGATACCCAGTTGGGAGTGGGACATGTGCTGTGGAATGATGGTAGCGACCCAAGTCGATAGCGCCAACGTGACGGCGCGTCGTTTTCGAGAACCCCGCCATAATTTGGCCGCGACGCTGAAGCGCGACGAGGGATGGATCGCAGAAGGCAGATGCTGATACCACGACAGCCGCAAGCTCGCTTCGACCTTTATTGCAACGAAGATGTCGTTGTTTGGTGGTAGCGCCGCGCCATCTCGCTCCTCTTATGTATCTGATGCCTCGTCGTCACGTTCTTCTTCTTCTTCTCCGTCTGCACACTCATCGCCGTCAGTTGAGGAGGTCTCAGACCCGCGCAACGCGCAAGAAGCACCAAATCCCCATGTGCCGATATCACTCGACATAGACGATGACCTAGACACCGATAGCGGGTCCGCACGGGACGAACCCGACGAAGAGGAAGAAGACGACGGCGACGGCGACGACGGCGACGACGACGAACCAGTGCGCCCGAACCGCTTTCTCGGCCAACCCCAAGCATGGCAGAGCCTCACCGAGGCCGATCGCCAGGTAGCAGATTCGCTCGCTCAGATCCAAGACACAGATCTTGCGGCACATCTGTATAACGCCCATGCGCTCAAGCGGCGGTTACGACGACCCGAGGAAGCCACGGCGCAGCTCGAAAACTGGCAGAGTAGGGACAACTGGCTGAAGGCTGGCAAAGACCTCGAATACAAGGATGCGGCAGGCTTCGTGCAGACGGCAATGGTGCCTTCCAAAGAGTGGACGGCATGGCCATTGCCCCCAGCATCACTCTTGGACTCCGACGACGAGCTGGGCGATAGCATGGCGGGCGGTCAGACAGTCGAATGGCCTTCTGCAGGCACAGGCACACAAGATGTAGGAGATGAGCTCCGAGACGAACTTCAAGCTGTATTTTTACGACTGGCCAAAGAGAGATGGAACTCCCGGGAAGCGGCCTCGTCTGAATCCGACGCCGGCGACTACACAACAGCTTCACGCAGCGAGTCACGATCTCAAAGCGCCAGTCGCGCGCAGTCGCGCTCTATTTCCATGGCTCCATTTCCACTGGAAGATGAAGACGAAGCACGCGACGATAGCAACGACGATGAACGCCATCATGCGACTGGAAAGAAACGTGGCAGGAAACCTCGTAACGAGAGACTCACCGAGCCGACTTTGCTAGCCGACGACGCGAGAACACAGCGGCTTCTACAGCCAACGATACGGGCCATGACGGGAAAGCTAGACGAGCTTGCACTGGCTATCCGCCGAACTCGTGCCAACCATTTCGGTCGCGGCGGGTCGGCAGATTCCTCCATGAGTGACTTCACATCAGGTGCAGAGTCGAGTGCGCCGGAGTCAAGGTCTACATCACGAGCCCGATCGAAGGGTGGAACAAGTCGCGGATCAAGCACCCGACCTCCTTCGCGTGCAAGATCGGCGCGAGCTGCTCACACAGCACAATCAGGAACAAAGACTGCCAAAGATGGAAGCAGGCCTCCCGATAGTGATGCTACCTCAAGTGGAGCATCTGACTGGGAGGCGTCCAACAACATAACCCGCGAACGAAAACGTCGCAGATCCTCAAGCAGCATCGGTGGTAGTGATGTTTCAGAAACACAAGAACTGCAGCTGAGGGAAGGCCTTATGGATTGGAGTGAAGTGCTTGGGTTGGCTGCTGTACAGGGTTGGGACAGAGAAGCTATTGCACGTACGGCTCAGCGTTGCGCCGCTCTGTTTGGTGAGAGCATGTCATTTATGCACTTCCACGAGACTCTTGCTTTGAAGCCTGCTTCCGAGCCTGTGTTCTACACACCTTCAGCTATACCGCCGCCGGCCGTCTCCTCAATCCCGCAGCCTCCAACACCTAAGCGACCCTTCTTCCAGATCGGCACATTGCGTTGTCCGCATATAGATTGTTATGGGCATGAAAAAGACTTTGCTCTACCTTATCGCGTGGTCGAGCACTGCATGCGAGTCCACGGCTATGACCCTAGAACCAACGATTCTGACAACGAAGAGCGGACGTTTGGTGGTGTGCACATCGATGGATTCCTACAGCCTGTCACGGCGAAGCCAGGATGGTTAGGGAATGGGCGGACAAAGGCTGGTAGGGCGAACAAGATGCAAAAGAAGGGACAAGGTCGTAGTCGGGCTGCATCAGAAGCTATAATGAGCACTGGAGAATGAGTCATGGCCTTGCGCTGGACATGTCCGATATAGCAACATGACAGCACATTCGGTATGAAGCATCTGTATTCTGAAATGATACGACCAACATGCCTACCATGCTACCAGCATTTCTATGCAAACGTCTGACGTATCTTGGGCGTTCCGATCCACATGTTCAGGCGGGACCTTACATTAGCTTGCGCTAGCGCGATAGCCAACGCGATTTGTCGCGTTGACTAGAGTGCGGCCATCTCTTTCATAATCGCTCCCGCACCCCGCATCGCGGCTGCATCTATCGAGCTCGTCCCTATTGGCCATATCCATCGATAATACATGATTATATCAGTCAATTTATGTTCTCTATGGGCTTTAGTGAGAGGTGACCTTGCATCGTGAGTTGATACGATGGCGCATTAGATCCCTCTTATCACCTCGCCGTGCCCACGCAGTACGTGTTGGCTGTCCCCCGTTGAAATCGCGAACCAAATTTTGAGCTCACACCGCTTGTATAGATGATTATGCGCTGGACGCGTATATGAATAATACCCCTCCGACTACCGGTCCCACGGCCGCTCCGCCGCAGTACTCGCATTACACCCCTTTGCGTTACGCTTCTTCCATAACCGTACCCGTCGAGTACCCCACGTACATGCAGTACCATTCCGACAGCTTGCTCCCGCCAATGTCGAACATGGAAAATATCCCACCTATGGCTGCATTGCGGCCAAACGACGCATCAGAACAGAGGCCAACAAAACGAAAGTCAGATGGAGAACATCCTGACGCCTTCAGAGAGCGACCTAGACAAGCCGTATCGCCAATCAGCCCTAGAGTCCATTCTGCCACGCAAGATCACGCCCGAGCCTATAGTGGGCCTCAGTACGGAACTCAACACAACCCAGTCGAGATACTTTCGAGCCCAGAGTCAACGAAAAGCATACCAAGGCAACAGATGACGAGCTCAAAACAACCTGTCCTGCCGCAAGATCTGCGGAATGCTGGGTTATATGTTCAGGAGCCCAATCTCTCCGCGAAGAAGATTGTATACTACGCGGTAGCAGGTGGGAAAGTGCCTGGTATCTATACAAACTATGATACCGTTCTCGAACAGATTAAAGGCTACAGTGGTGGTTGGCAAAAGAAGTTTCGTACCATAGATGATGCATGGAAATATATGAACGAAAACAGATCCCGCGTCGAAATAGCGCTCCAGCGCCAAAGGGAGCGGCAGCAAGAGTCCTACAACTTTGCTCCGACATACCATGCGAATAGGGCTCAGCGTACACCTTCACCTCCTCCAAAGTACACTTACCCCCTTCTAACCCCACCTTCCAATCGATCCCAAGGATACGTAAACTACAATCTATCGCCTTCCAAAGCAGGACACGTTGTAGGGCAGTCGCAGCTTGCAGCAAATTCTCCAAGACCGAACACTACCGCTAACAAGAACGTTTCTGATCCCGAGATAAGATTGAGCGCAGAACAGCAGAGAGTCGTAGATCTCATCGTGGACGGCGGGAAAAACGTCTTCTACACTGGGTCTGCAGGATGTGGCAAGTCTACTATCTTGAAGGCTTTCGTTCCACTACTAAAAAAGCAAGGAAAGAACGTTCGGATTGTAGCGCCAACTAATCTCGCCGCGCTTAACATTGGCGGACAAACGACCTGGAATTTCGCTGGTTGGACAGTGAACAGCATGAACGAATCGTTGGATAGGTTGAAGGAAGCCGCTCACGGCAAAGAAACTTGGAAGAAGTTCGACATGACCGACGTGCTAGTCATCGATGAGATCAGCATGATTGAAAACCTCCAATTTGAGCGATTGAGCGAAGTCATGAAGGCCAGCCGCGCCGGCAAAGCCACTGGCCCATTTGGCGGCGTTCAAGTCGTTGTTACCGGAGACGTAAGTTACTCTACGAGATTCGATGCTGATATGCTAATTACCGTAGTTTTGTCAATTATCACCTGTGAAGCCCTTCCAGCATTGTATGGGGTGTGGATGGAAGCTCATTCATGAAAAGAGAGAAGGAGAGCTACATCACATTTGCGAGAACCCTAAATGTCGCTATGATTTCTGGTTCGACACCGACAAGTGGGCCTTCCGTAGCGAGGCGTGGAAGGTTTGTTGTATACTCCATCCGACTCGTACGGCAGCAACACTGACACAGGCAGGATTGCAAATTCGAACATATCAATCTCACAGAAATTCACAGGCAAGACGACAGGAAGTTTATCTCCATACTCCAGAAAATTCGCAGAGGTATAGTTGCCCACCATTGAGACGCCACTGTCGCATATAATTAAATTTGAAAACATGTACTGACACATACTAGATGGTGAGATTGTTAGGCATCACGCAAATATCCTGCTCAATCACACAAAAGATACCGAAGGCGCCATCCGACTATTCTCCAAGCGCCTGGATGTCGACCGTATAAACAAAGAAAACATTGCGAAGCTCCCTTCACAGCAACTCGCCTACAAGTGTTTAGATAGCTTCGTATGGAATGATCGCGAAGATACATCTTTGGAAAAATACTGTGAACAGAAAGAAGATGGTACTCTCAAACAACTAGTATGACAACCTCTGCGAATGTCCGAATATCACTGACTGTCACACAGAGAGAGCATCGCTACGAAGCTATTGTGCATTTGAAGGAGGGCATGCGCGTGGTGTTACAGGCCAATCTTGAACCCGACGCCGGCCTTGTAAACGGCTCCCAAGGCCTGATCATCGGATTTGAGGAATTTGACCCTAACAAGCTACCCCGCGCAGCAGAGGGCAAAGACGATTACGGTGAGCTCAAAGGTACTCATGCCAAATATTCCCAGGGGCAAATTAAGGAATACGCCAATCGGAACCGCCGCCAGCCATGGCCAGTTGTTCGGTTCGACAACGGCCGAACTAAGGTCATCTACGCGGACTGTCCTTGCAACGAACTCGGAAATGTTGGCGAGCATGGAGATAAGGGCAAGCTCAGCCTGTTATCGAGGGCACAGATTCCGCTTGTCGCAGGCTATGCCATTACTGTGCACAAGTCGCAGGGAATGACGCTGGATCGCGTTATTGTCGATCTCAAGGACGCTTTTGAGGCAAGCCAACTCTACGTCGCTCGTAAGTCGCGCTTCATTGATAGGGCTGTAACATATAAACTAATATCTTGAACAGTCAGTAGAGCACGCTCGCTCAAGGGTCTCGAAGTTGTGGCACTTCCAAAGAGACCTCTGGGGGGTGCCAATCCACAGGTCAGGGAATTCTTCAATAGATGTAAGTGTACATGGGCGAGCAACGTGTTAGACATACACTGACTCCTTACACCCGGACACAGACCTTGACCCGAATCAGCCCCATCCATCATCCCAGACGCCGCAAGCATCACAGGTTTCTCAGTCATCACAGTCTTGAGAAGTCAACTCTCCTATGTCCTACCGTTCCTCTGTGCGTCACTTGCGCGAATGGTGAGCTTCTTGCATATCTTTCATTTGTATACGACAATCTCTCTGGTGGTCGGATCTAGATCTCTGCATATACCCCATGCCTTTGGTATTTCGATACTACTTTTATACCAAAATGAATCTCGTTGAATATATTCAACAGCTATTACTCCTGTAGGAGTGGATGTTGTTGATGAGCATGAAAAATCACAAAATTGCATCACACCGACGGATAAAACGAACTAGGCCAGCAAGAAAGTTGTGCATACTTCATCATTGGCATAAAGTCGGACTCATATCATGCATCCGAGGATATAAAGAATATACGCGAAAGAAAAGGGGTATCAACTTGTTAAGGAAACTCATCACGTCTCCAACCAGTCTACGTACCAATCTACTCCGTCTTCCGGATGAGACCTTCGCCAGGCTTCACGCGCTGCGCCCACTCGGTCCAGCTGCCATCATACAAGCGCCTCTGTTGTGCCGGGAAGCCAGCTTCTGACAATGCAGCGTCGATGATTGCCGCTGTGACGCCTGTACCACAGCTGTTTATGATTGGCTTAGACGGATCCACCCCCTTGGACTTGAAGATAGCTTGGAGTTCGGAGGCAGGGAGAAGCGTCTTGTCTTTCGAATCGAGAAGGTCCGTGATGGGGACAGAGGTGGAGTGCGGAATGTGCCCAGATGAAAGGCCTAGTAGAGTCAGCTTCACCATGTTGTAGTGTCTCTTATGCAGCTAGAAGCATACCTTCTCTAGGCTCCGGATCAATACCCTTCCACCGGCCTAAGCTCCTCGCGTCCAATATTTGCACTTCATCCGCACCCTCCTTACCCAATTCTCTTGCAATGTCCTTGACCTCCTCAAAGGCGACAACCCTCTCTTCCTCCAACTTCGGCACTGCATATTCGGTCGGCGCAACCTCCTTTGGCTCTCCGCTCTCCGTTGGGAGCCCTTGTTCGACCCACTTGCGGAAGTTGTTCAACACATGCACATTTGGATGTCCGAAGACTTGTAGCGTCCAACCAACTCTCGGGGCTGAGAAGATACCCAGCTCCTTTGTATCATAGACGACTACGCTGTCTTCACGGCGTATACCGAGGTGTCTCATTGCGATTGCGAAGTCTTCGGCAGAAGGAAGCATGTGCGGATATGGCGAGTGGATGTCCTTGACGGCGTCGAGATCGAAGAAACGAGCGCGTGGGATACGCTTTTCAAGAAAAGTATCGTACCCATTCCTACCATCGTTGGGCAAAAACCAGGATGCGCAAAGCGGAACGATGCGCGGCTCTGAAGAAAGCTTGCTAGCATTATGCTTCAGAGCTGAATTGAGCTCGGATGGTGAGACGAGATAAGAAGGGAAGTGATGGTGTGAGGACATTGTCCGTCTACTGCTTGCAGCTATGGGGAAGCGGACGGAGGGAGTGGAAGAGAGTGGGCGTAAAGAGCAGCGGAAGCGTAGGACGAACATATTGGAAGCTGGACGGTGGATACAGTGAACTAGAAAAGGTGTCCTGGTCGGCGAGAAAGAAGAAGGAGCGAAGATATGTGGAGTAGACGGCGAGGTCAAGCTTCCCTATCTGCATCCATTGTACAGAGGAGGGTCCGCATTAAGCTTCAAGATTAGTGCGGGGAACTCAGCAAATCTGTCAAAGTGCCATCTACCTTACGCGCACGCAATTTTAGTCGAGTATAACATCATGTGACACGTTTTTTCGCGCTCGAATATAAAGATCGATTCACAAGATGATAGCATTACGCGTTTGGATAACGGCATTTGTATGGTCTACGAATTTGTGATTATGATGACGCTGGAAGCTCCAGCTTGAGCTCAGACCCTACTGGTAGCGGAATTAACGCGCCGTGGCCCCTCACCGCCGTAAATCTGCCGCCTCGGCATGTTTTGGTGCTGTTGATCTGCGTCCCACTCAATCTGCGCGCCAACTTCGTGTTCTACCCATTGCGCGACAAAGGACAGGATGAAAGTCACTATACGGGAATGGAACGCTGTCGCCGCATGGCGTTGGGACATGCCGGACGACGATGTCTGTGGTATCTGTCGCAACCCTTACGATAGCACTTGCTCCAAGTGCAAGTTTCCTGGAGACGAGTGTCCACTATGTATGTTCGAAGATGGCGAGGGTCAATGAAGACTAACATGATATAGTGCTGGGAGAGTGCAACCATTCCTTTCACATGGTGTGCTTATATCCTCAGAGAGTACCTGTTGCGCCCACAACTAACGTGTCTCAGCACTGTATTTTCTCCTGGCTCAAGCAAGAGAGCTCTCTAGAGAAGTGTCCCATGTGTCGTCAGCGTACGTACAGTTTGAGGCTCACAGAATACCCGCTGACTTGCATTCCCAGCCTTCAAGTCGAAGAGTCAAGACGCGCCAACAGCCACCGAAACTCCAACACAGCCGCAAGAACCCGATACAAGCCCATTGTAGCCTTCAAATCTTAGCACTGATGACGAAAATCTGTGAAGAGGCTCGTTACCGACATGCTTCTCGTGTATAGGCCGGGAGTTGGGGCAGTAGTGCTTCACATCCGAAGCGATACTTGGATTATACAGTACTGTTACCATCGGCGTTTGGATTTGGATACCCTAAGGATTTCATTACATACCTCAGCCTATTCACACTGCGACTTTCTCTGTACTTCAGTACTTGGTTCATACCTAGGTATCCTTGATGCTGGTAGGGTAGTGTGCATGGACCACGTCCCTTATCGATCGATCACGCATCTTACTAGAGCTCCCAGAACTCCGTTAACTCCAGCCTTCTATCAATCCCCACAACATGTCTAACAACCCCGACACTACAGAGCCCTTCTCAGATATCCACGCGTCGTACTCTCCACGATCAACACCGTTGCAGCGCGCCAAACATTCTCCCGACGACGAGCTCCGCGAGCAACAGCAGCCTGGCGATGCGCCAGAGGACGATGACGATGACGATATACCGTATCCCGAGCCTAGTTTCGAGCAGCCGTTGCTACCACCACCGAACTTCCGACCTTTCTTTACTCTAATCGAAGATACAACGTCGGGCGAGCACTACCACCCGTATACACACTATGTCTTTGCAGATGACGACCCGACCATCATAACCGCCGCATCGATGCGAGGCTTAGGGCTGGATGACACAAAGTACCTCCCACAGGATGCGCCAGGTGGTGGTGAGAGACGACGCAACCAGGGAAGTGAAGAAGGAGACGAGCAAGCCTCACCAGTCGAGTCGCCACTTCCCCCACCTATACCGGGTGTCAAGGAACACTACCTCATAATCGATGTCGCGGCGGACGGACGAACCATCGCAGATGCGCAGTCGCTTTCATCGGAGTGGCAGATAACGGAAACGGATGTGCGAACAGCTCCGTCGTTCGATGAGGATGCGCCAGACCAAGGGTACATGCTCCGGATTCAGGGCGTTGAGATACCGAGGAAGAGCAAGGGAAAGGGTCAGGCTGGACTGGACAGGCTGAACGAGGCGAGGGATCAACAAGCCGATATCTTCGATGCATTAGACGGATTAGTACAGGGTATCGAAGGAGGACTGGAGACTGCGGGCAAGATCTCGGGCGCGAGGTCAAGAATAGGCGAACAAGGCACACTGGCCGATGCTCGTGAGGATGATATAAGCAAGACGGTGGGTGATCAAGCATGATATCGGCGTGTTCAGTCGTTTCGCAAGTGGCATCAAGTCACATTCCTTGTCTTCATGCCTATCGATATTGAGCGTGCGCTTCAAAGCTGCTACCAAACGTTGACTCATATAAGAGATGTGGTTGGTGCCGACTGTGGTTGCCCACATCCAGCGTTCTCTAAATACCATCAATACCCCAGCGCACTCTATAATGAGCGGGTCTTTTATGTCAAGAGTAGCACTACGCTGTCTACCAGTCTACCGCAGGATACGATTCTTACTCAGATGCCATCTTCAACCCTGAAGACATCTCTAATACCGACCTTGGATGGTGCAAAAGTCAGATATGAATCAGCCTAGCATATATCACCTATAATTCGCTTCACAGCACGGCAAAGACAAGGTATTGTGAGTGTCAGTTCAATATGGTTTCTCTCACTTCACTACCCTGAGTCGCTCCTACCCGCTACCTTCTCTCACCAGGCGAGACGGTATGTGCACGGGTAAATAGTCTATATGATTCAAACTTTCTGCGTCAGACCTCCTCGTCACTCTCGCGTTCCTCTTCTTATCCTTCTCCAGCTTCCACAGGAGTATTCAATAATGGCTATCTTACAAACCCTCCTCACTGTCGCCTCAGTGGCTTCCCTCGCCACGGGCTACGAGCCCAAGGCGACATACAATGCAAGTAATTTCTTCGACGATAGCTCCTTCCGTTTCTACAACGGCTGGGACAAGTTCACTCATGGTCTCGCTTTCTATGTCTCCAAGGAAGAAGCAACTGAACTTGGACTTGCCCGTATCGAAGACGGCAAGGTTCGTCTTGGGGTCGACACAAACCAGGTACTCACTCCAAAGGAGCCTGGTGAGGGCTATGGCCGCAAGAGCATACGACTGGAGGGAGTGCAGACGTTTGATAATGGGCTCTTCATTGCCGATTTTCATCATTTACCTAGTGGATGTGGCATGTGGCCTGCTCTGTAAGCTTGCCCACCTGGAATAACCACAGTTAATCACCTTCAAGACGTTCAAGGCATTTCGTGCTTCCTGTTCTCTGTGAGATTCGTCGTACATGCAGCAGCTAACCATGTGCAGCTGGCTTCTACACGATAATGCTGACCAAGAGGACTGGTACTCCGAGTTCGACATTGTCGAAGGCGTCTCGAAGAATAGTTGGAACGAGCTCAGCATCCACACTGCTCAGACGCCATGTAAGATGCGGGATAATGGCGGTACCGGACAGACGCGCGACGACCTTGAGTGTTCGAGTGGTCACAACTGTGGAGTCAACGGTCCTGACGGCTCCTTCGGCCAGGCCTTCAATGATCGCCACGGCGGAGTTTGGGCAGCAGAGGTCAGCAATGGTGGCATCAAGGCCTGGTTCTTCGCTAGAGGCAGTGAGCCCTCGGGCTTGGACGGTGATCATCCCGATCCTAGCAGATGGGGCAAGCCTGTGATGAACTTTGTTGGGGACGGCTGTGACATCCAGAAGACGTTCAAGAAGATGAAGATCGTACGTATTCCCGTATTCGTTCGTGCGAGTACTCACTGACATGGAAAGATTCTCAATATTACCTTCTGTGGCAGGAATGCGGGTGGCGATACCTGGGCTGGCTACTCAGGTTGCGCAGCAGAAACCCACGACGACTCTTGTAACCACTTCGTTGCAGCTAACCCTGATAAGCTCAAGGAAGTTTTCTATCTTATCAATTCCGTGAGAGTTTACCAGAACGGCGCCGGCAGTGATTACCCAAAGAACAGCCTCGCATCCGAGATAGCTCAAACAGTCCTCAACTCCACAACGACTGCAAAGCAAGCTGTCATTCCAGTTGCAACTACTACCATCACCACTTCGAACAACCTCATGGCTTTGCCTACAACAGTGATTCACGGTACTAACTGCGGCTCATACGACCCGTCGACATCTGCTACAACCCCAACCACTCTTGCCTCTTTCTACGGCATGCGTCTTCCAGCGCCGGTTTCCGAGACAGACCCTGAAGTGATTTTAATAACAACTATCGTCACGACAACGAAAATCATGACGCTGCGTGCGACTCGGACTGGTGGTGATAATTACAGCCCGTACGAGCCTTCCGCCTCGAGAACACTCGCCTCTTCCTACACTGGACATCTCTCCGCGATGGCTTCAGAGGCAGCTTCCATGGCTATCACAGTCACCACGGTCATAACGGTAACGAAGGTCATGTCTTTGCCTGCGACTTTGACTGGCGGCAACAACTACGGTCCTCATGACCCATCGACGGCGGCTGTCAAGCCTACTGGCACAACCATTGGCGGCATAAACTACGTTCCCTTTGATCCGTCGGTTACGTCTATCAAGCTCGTAGGCACAACCACTGGTGGCATCAATTATAGCCCTTACGATCCATTGGCAACATCCGCGCAGCTTGGTGTATAAACTGCCACTGGAGCTGTATCGGCGAAGGCGGAGCATATATCGCGCACAAACAGGGCTCTATTTTCGTTCATGTATACCTCGGCGTCATAGACAGAAATATGAGATGGAGATCACAATGTACGGATAAATGAGCAAAAGCGGCAGGACAGACGCGGCGATTTGATTTCAAGATACACCATACAAATTCAGAGATACATAAATGAATGCAGCGTGCCCTTCATATTTTGATCTAATATCCTTGCTACCAGGGGATTGTCGCGCCGAATCGGTCCACCAGCCTCCCGCTCTCCCATCCTTCCTTGGTCATACTCGTCAAAACCCGCATACAATCCCCCACACTCTCCTCCACCCCAATTGCTCCTTCCTCCTTCCACTCCACCAGTCCCGTCTCCACCCGTCCCGGATGCAGCATCAGAAACTGCACATCCGGTATATCGATGACAAAGCTCTTCACTACCGCATTCAGGGCCGCCTTGCTAGCACGATATGCATACCCGCCACCCGCCGTGTTCGCAGATATCGAGCCCATTCGAGATGACAAGATGATGACCTTAGGTTTTGATGAGCTTTTCGTAACAGTGGCTAGTTGGAGGTTTGACAAGAACGATCTGATAACGTTGAAAGTACCCCAGGTATTGATTTCAAGGGTTTTCATCATGGTCGGGTAATCCATGGCTTCCAGTGTTTCTGCTGCCGCGACGACCCTGTTGCTATCTTTCTCATGAGCCACGATATGTGGAACAAGACCCCGGATACCGGCGCAGTGAAGGACTAAGTTGATGGGTATGGAGCTGAGTGTCGATGCAAGGTCTTGGATCTTGGAAGTTGATGTTATGTCAATCTGATGGAATTGAATATTGGTCCCTTGTTGATTGTCAATTTGGATTGGGAAGGATTGGTTGTCGATGCCTATTATGTTGGGCCGTGATGGCAAGGAAGCATAGTGTTGTACGAAGGCAAGACCGAGACCGGAGGATGCGCCTGTTATCAGGATGGTTTCTGATGCCATTGTTTGTGTTAGGCCGGGGTTTTGCGCTGTTGGCGAGTTCGACAGCTGAGGCTTGTAAACACTTGAGAAGATGTGTATAGATACATGGTCAATGTACTCGTCTCAATGTGGCAATTTTGTTGGAAAGGACCTTTACTGCAAAAGTGATGGTGTCGGTATTAGTGGGGGGTAGAGGCACATGCCGCCTATGTTTGCCGATTCCGACAGGTAATGGTTCCCCGCAGTCTACCCGTTAACTGGCAGACAAAGACCCAAACAGGTGGTTCGGCTTTGGACAAGCACATAACGTCTACCTGAGGATGGTTCGATGATTGGAAACTTCCGGGTCGATAAATACGGCTTTACAGATCTCCTAGGTATAAAAGAAGCGAATCACGAGAGATAGCTGTAGGGAAGTACACGTCAACGAAGTTGCAATGTTCTACCAACCTGGAAAAGAAGACCACGGATTACCATACGATCCATTCAAAGTAAGTATGCTTTGCCAGATTTCCAGACGCCATGAAGGCAATCAGAAACATTATTCATCTATCAGAATTATGTACACTCAAAACTCTCTTAGCAGCCACTAAGCCCAACCTAGGCATGCGTCCTTCCCCGACCGATAGGCTGGATATCGACACTCTCACCTGATGGCCACGCAAATCTAGCTCCCTACTCTCAATTCAACAATCTCACCTTCGACCCGCCATACGTAATGTTTAGCGCCAATCAAACGCCTAGCAACTCACAGAAAGATACTGTCCGCAACGTCGAAGCTACAGGAAAGTTTATTTGGAATCTAGCGACGTATGAGCTAAGGGAGGAAGTAAACAGGAGTGCAGTGCAAGAAGAATACGGTGTTGACGAGTTTGAGAAGGCGGGTGTAGAAAAGGAGGACAGTAAGCTGAGTGGAGTTGTTGTAGTTGGCAATAGTGGCGAGGGCAGGAAGGAAATGATGATCCCAATGGTGATGCGCAGTCCGGTGAAGTTCGAGTGCGAGTACTACACTACGTTGCGACTTCCTGGAAACCCGCCTATGGGGTCAGCAGACGTGGTGATAGGGAAGGTAATCGGTGTGCACATCGATGAGCGCGTGTTGACTGATGGCAAGATCGATGTGAGGAAGACGGAGCCGATTGCTCGATGTGGGTACTACGAATATGCGGTCGTGAGGGATACTTTTGAGATGCGCATTCCGGGAGAGGACAAGGCAATTTTAGCGGGGTTGGAGGGGAGTGCTAAGAAGAACGAGATGTTGGATAGGGAAGGGCATGTAGGCGATGACGCGAAGCGATGATAGGAGCTGCCATACTAGACAAAGATCAGTGGAACAGCCGATGATACCACTGTGTCTGTCTAGAGACTGATGTGACGAGCAAAATATATACACGAAACATTTTCGTTCCAGATACCACTCCACAGTCCGGACTTCTGGACGCCAAAACAAGCAGGGTGTCCACGCGTAACAATATGAGCGCAATGATACCAGATTCGATATCCATGGGACCTTGGAATCTACGCATTGGGAAAGCCACCGTGAAAAGCTTCGACCTATTGATTTGGCTCCAAGCAAGGCTTTCTTGGGTAGTGCGATAGCTCCAAGGCAATCAAGCGACATCGCTCTGTTGACTGCTCGTGGAAATTAGCAACATCTCCCATGTTGCAGCGGCTTCTAGGGGCTCACTTACCAGCCATATATACCAACTCTTCTATGAAGGCGTCATTCAAGTTTACTTTGCAGCACGACAGCCACCAGGAAAGGTGTCAACGCAGAATGAGGATGTAACAGAGTCACTAAAACTTGGACAGGCCAAGCCAACGCCCAAATCACGTAGCATTCGCGTTAGCACGTGGCTGCTTTCGTTCCGAACACGTGAGAACGAATGCTCAACGCCTGTCAAATATTTGGTACTTTGTCGATCGCGCGAGCAAACAGACGACTTTGCTTTTTAGAGAGACGTGTTTCTCTTGCGTAAAATTACAAGCAGCGGTCGACGAGGAAAGTTTCTTCCAACGAGAAATGCAGAGGTAAGTAATTATGGAACAAGCATATTAAGTAGTAGGCGGAGCAAGCTTGAGACGACTAACAAGAACATCGCTTATGCAATTCTTGTCTGGTATGATAAGTGCTACAGTAGCTACAACAGCATAGAGTGCTCTTGATTCTTCCCATCATAACAACATATTTCCTAGTAAACATAACGGAAGTTGGGATTCTCCTTGTCCGTCAGATCGTCAAATCCGTGAGCGTTGCTAATCTCCTTTCCAAACTCGCGGTCCTTCTTCTTGTTGCGGAGCATGAGGTTGAATCTCAGGAAGGCAATGACACAGAGTAGCGCAGAATAACATCCGAGATGGATAGAGAGCGACTTGAGGTAGCGTGGGTCGCCGTCAAAGAAGACCTTGGGACCGATGGCGTTACCGGCACACCAAGCAAAGAAGTTCATGGTGATGCAGACAGACTTCTTGGTCTGACCTCCGACGTTGCGCGTCAGCATGGACATGCCGAGACCTTGGGCAGCCCAGAAGGTGAAGATGATCCAATAACTGATTAGTAGACCAGCTTTGGTGGCGTTGTTAGTGTTCTTGACAGTCATGATGACGATTGTGCCAGTAAAAGCTGGGATCATGAAAACGGCCATGGTCAACAGGTTTTGCTTTGTCTTCTTGACCATCCAGGCTGAGCCCATGAGTGTGGCAATAATGACTACACCAAGAACCATGGCGAGCAGTTGAACCTGGAGGACATCGAAACCGAGATCCTGAATGATGATGTTGTAGAAGGCACCGAGTCCAGAAGTGGGGAGGGTAGTGAAGATCTGGATACCCATGTAGCAGTAGGTCTGGGGATCGAGGAGAGCCTCCTTGAACTGGTAGGCACGGAACTTCTTGTTTTGGAGACCGGTCTGGTTAGAGCGGACACGCTCAACCATGAGCTTCTTGTCTTCTTCAGACCAGCACTTGGCGCGCATAGGGCTATCAGGAAGTGTAAAAATGACATAGAGTCCCCAGAGGAAAGAGACACAGCCGTAACAGATGAAGATGGCTTGCCATGACCTAATTGGCGCATTTCCGGGGTTCGCCTTGAAGCTAGGATGTCTGATTGTGGAGAAGGCGTATGCGAGAAGACCACCGACGATCTGTTGGGCACCGTCTAGATGAAGAGATTAGTCGTTGTTCTATGAGTTTGACTGTATTCCGCTCACTCATCATGTACCAGTAAGTAACGATCTGAGCCTGCTCCTCACGCTTGTACCAAAGACCAGTCATGATCAAGAAAGCCGGTTGGCAAACGGCCTCGAAGATACCGAGGAGTGTTCGGACAGCAACGAGCGCAGGGAAGCTGAAGCAGAGGGCGTGGCAGGCAAGTACGGTACTCCATGCGAGGATGTTGAAACCAAGGTATTTGGCGACTGGTACTCGTTGGAGAATCCAATTGGTTGGGTATTCGACGACAAGCACAGCGAGATAGATACAGGTGGTGAGCCACCCAAACTGTCACGAGTCAGTACGCGTTACTAGTGCCCACAGACTTTGCAACTCACAGTCTCCTTGGAAAGAAGGCCAGGAACATCGTCACGGATACCCATGATTGAGGTAGCGGACATGGTACCCTTATCTAGCGATTGCAAAAAGTACGTGATGACCATAATGGGCAGTACACGCCGATCGATCATCTTCTTCAACCTCTTGTTCTCTTCTTCGGAGATAAAGACTTCAGAAGCGCCTGCGTATTTGGCAACTTCCTGGTCAATTCGGTTGTAGTCCGCATGCTCGCCTTTCTCGTCTCCGACGGAGAGTACGCGCTCGACCTGTGTGATGTCCTTCTTATCGTCCGATTGACGAAGTGTCTCGGGTGCGTTGTGTACGCCATCGGCGCTGGCTCTGGCGGTGGCCATCTTGAAAAATAGGCTTCCGAGAAATTGACAGCGGAAGAGAATGAGGTTCAAAAGAAAGACCCCAGGACTCGCAGTGAGCTGGTAAAAAGTGGAAGAGCGGTCGAGTTGATATTTCTACCCGATTTTAGATTGTCCGTCCAAGCGTTCCCCGGCCTCCAGCTACCCCATGCTGGCAGGCTACTCCGCAAATCCTGGGATAGGAACCTGCACCTCAATGTCTAGCCAATATTGATGAGTCGTTGTTATCTCCTTTCTCCTTGTCTCCGTATCCCGGTTTGACGTAGCATACTGGAAAGGCGTGCTGCATGCGCGACCCTGTGGGCGCCAATGCTGCATCTTGAGTCGCTAGCCTCTGGGGTTCGCCACCCCCGCCACGGTGCCGTCCAAACAGCTTGTGGAGTCTTGTGGAGTGCTTGTGAAAGATCAAGCAGTGTGGAGAGTGCCACCACTTGGCAATGGTCCAAGTCTGGTAAAATATCGGCATAGATGATCCCGAACCGCCCCTCGGGTGTGAGAGGGAATGCATGTGATGGGTCAGGCTCGTGCGAGTGGCATGCGAAGCTTTGTTCCCTGGCATGCGGCGGCTGGTGGAAGATTTCGTCCGCCTGCATCGTCAGTGGCGGTTCTCCTTCCCAGGAAGAGTCGAGTCAGGCGGCCAAGCTCCTACACGGCGGTTCTCCTTCCCACCACGGTGCCTTCCGGCTCTCCAAGACATAAGCGATTGGTGACCCTTGACGTCGGTGCTATCGGTATAGTCCTCAACGAGCGTCGGCGTAATGCAGTGCGAGTGCGGCAGAGATCCCATTTTGGGATCTTAGCAGTGGACTTGGGAGGTTTGAGCAGTGGGCGTCAAAGGTCTTGGTGTTTGATGCTTGACACGAGAAAAGAGCCGCGTCTTCCAAGAACCCATCTGCTGGAGCAACACCACGTGTGCCCAGCTCCCAGTCGGGGTAGAGATGGACGAGTCGGTGCAACAGGGCACGAGATCTGGATGGAATCTGGCAGCTGCATGCAGTTCAGATGTAATAGACGCGGTTGAGGACCCTGAGACTTCCCCAGTTTTCGCTCCCCGCTCTGTATCTGGGTTGAGCTCTACCGACGCGTGTGACCGACGGGCTCTATGTAATACCCACTTGGCAGACTACGCGTGTGATAACATCTGGTCTTTTCGATACCTTCCTCCTTCCACTCTTGCCTGTCTTGCTCCAGATTTCGATTGCTTGCGACAAGCCCACCAAACACCTTCTGCGAACGCGATAAACCTCAACGAAGGCGTCCACCATGTCTACACTCACAGTTCATGGCCTGACCAAAGGCCAAATAGACGAGAAGATCCTCCTTCTAACACACAACCTGATCAACATTCACGACACAACGGGCGAGTTCCTCCTGAAACTCGACGATGGCCGCGTTATCGACACAAAAGGCTGGGACGGCTGGGAGTGGACACATGGCATAGGTCTTTATGGTCTGTGGCACTACTACACGCTGACGGGCAGCACTGCAACCATGGACATTATGAAGGGCTGGTTCGAGAAGCAGCTCAGCAAGGGTACAACCAAGAATATCAACACCATGAGCCCGTTCCTCACATTGGCATATCTGTATGAAGAGACAGGAAACAAGACGTTTGTGCCTTGGTTAGACACGTGGGCTGAGTGGGTGATGCATGGACTGCCCCGCACAAAGTTTGGCGGGTTCCAACACGAGACGTACAACTCGTTCAACAAGGATGAACTATGGGACGACACGCTTATGATGAGCGCACTGCCTCTCGCAAAGATTGGTCTTACGCTCAACAGACCAGAATATGTAGAGGAAGCAAAGCGCCAATTCATCCTGCACTGCCAGTACCTCTGCGACACATCCACAGGCCTGTTCTTCCACGGCTGGAAGTGGGAGGACAAGGGTGGATTGGAGGTCGGCCACAACTTTGCGCGCGCGCGATGGGCGCGTGGTAACTCGTGGTTGACGATTGCGATTCCGGATTTCATTGAGTTGCTTGACCTCAAGGAGACAGACCCCCTCCGTCAATTCCTCATCGGCATCCTTGAGTCGCAATGTCAAGCACTGCTGAAGTTGCAAGGCGAGAACGGCATGTGGCGCACACTTCTTGATATTCCTGTCTCAGAAGGCAGCTACGAAGAGGCGTCGGCCACAGCAGGTTTTGCATACGGTATGCTCAAGGCGTGCCGGAAACGATATATTAGCGGAGACGTATACCTCCAGAGCGCAGTCAAGGCGATCAAGGCCGTCATGGGTTGCATCAGCGCGGAGGGTGAGCTAGAGCAGACAAGTTTTGGAACTGGTATGGGACACGATTTGCAGCATTACAAGGATATCGCCATCACCAGTATGCCATATGGCCAGGCTATGGCTATCATGGCGCTGGGAGAGTTTATGAGGACTTTTATCTAAGACATGGCTATATGAATACACGTATCAAACGACGAATGAATGACTGTACACCAGCACTCGTATGGAAGGGCATGTGGGTTGTGACTGACATGATTTCTTCCGCTCTTGTATACGACTTTTCTGTTCCCAACGATAGTGAGAGAAACATGAGTCGAAGCGGACCAATCTGACTGTCTGTGTGATTCTGAGTATTATTCATCACGGAAGCGCGTCGACCAGCTTGTAGCGTTGTTCAACCAGATGGTCGCCTGAAAGCGTGTCTCATTTGTCGCCAACATATCCTCTCAAAGGCCTTGTGTCCCCTCTGTTGTAGACGATGTCTGAGTCTCGCATCGGATCGGACGGGACGGGCGGTGCTTCGCAAGGCAGCTACGGAGTGTTAGCCATGGGTGAGGCTGTACAAGGCTGTGCGAGGCTGATGCTCTGGAGCTGGAGCGCGAGCTGTCACTTGGGCGTCGCGAAACGGGAAGCCATGGCGGGCGTAGTGAGTATTTCAGTGCTTGATAGGAACAGTGGCAGTAGCAGAGCAGAGGTTTCTAGAAGCAAGCTGCTCGAGCGTTTGCGCGTAGCTGGCGGGGACAGGCAGGCAGATACAGAAGTCGCGATTGTTCTGCCCCTCGCTACTAGGCGTTGCCGGGGAAGGCGCGTTTGGCGGTGAGACACAATTGGAAGGGCTGCCCCACCCTGATTGGCTCCGCCGCGGCCTTCTCTGCAGTTCTGCCGCTCTGTCTAGAAGATTCTCGAGCTCCACCAAAGGCTATATCAGCCCCAAACTCGACGCCTCCCACTACTTTTTCTTCATCGAATTGCTCTCTCCCATTTCAACTACACAGACAACCTCGTCTTTCTAGTCTGCTCTTCACCACACGCTACAGAAGAGCCCAGCAAGTCGAACTACCCCGCCTAACTGTACGTCTTCCCCACACTCACACAGCCTAGTCGGCTGCACTGCATCGAGGCACCCATTGCGAGCTCTATCTGACTCTCTCTCTCCTACAGTCTACTCCCACACAACCGCCACCATGTCTGGGGAGACCTTCGAGTTCCAGGCTGAGATCTCTCAGCTGCTCGGCCTCATCATCAACACCGTCTACTCAAACAAGGAGATCTTCCTGCGAGAACTCATCTCCAACGCCTCCGACGCCCTCGACAAGATCCGATATGAAGCCCTCTCAGACCCAAGCAAGCTCGACAGCGGCAAGGATCTCCGCATCGACATCATCCCCAACAAGGAGGCCAAGACCCTCACCATCCAAGATAGCGGTATCGGCATGACCAAGGCCGACCTCATCAACAACCTGGGTACCATTGCCCGCTCAGGCACAAAGCAGTTCATGGAGGCTCTGTCAGCCGGTGCCGACATCTCCATGATTGGTCAATTCGGTGTTGGTTTCTACTCCGCATACCTTGTCGCTGACCGCGTCACCGTCGTCTCAAAGAACAACGATGACGAGCAGTACGTCTGGGAGTCCAGCGCTGGTGGCACCTTCAAGATCACCGAGGACACCGAGGGCGAGCAGATCGGCCGCGGTACCAAGATCATCCTCCACCTCAAGGATGAGCAGATGGACTACCTCAACGAGTCCAAGATCAAGGAGGTCGTCAAGAAGCACTCCGAGTTCATCTCATACCCCATCTACCTTCACGTCCTGAAGGAGACCGAGAAGGAGGTCGAGGATGAGGACGCTGCCGAGGAGACTGCCGAGGGTGACGAGAAGAAGCCCAAGGTCGAGGAGGTCGACGACGAGGAGGAGGAAAAGAAGGAGAAGAAGACCAAGAAGGTCAAGGAGTCCAAGATCGAGGAGGAGGAGCTCAACAAGCAGAAGCCCATCTGGACTCGCAACCCTCAAGACATCACCACTGAGGAGTACGCTTCATTCTACAAGTCCCTCTCCAACGACTGGGAGGACCACCTTGCCGTCAAGCACTTCTCTGTTGAGGGTCAGCTCGAGTTCCGTGCCATCCTCTTCGTTCCCAAGCGCGCTCCCTTCGACCTCTTCGAGACCAAGAAGACCAAGAACAACATCAAGCTCTACGTCCGCCGTGTCTTCATCACCGATGATGCTACTGACCTGATCCCCGAGTGGCTCAGCTTCGTCAAGGGTGTCGTCGACTCCGAGGACCTTCCCCTCAACCTGTCTCGTGAGACTCTCCAGCAGAACAAGATCATGAAGGTCATCCGCAAGAACATTGTCAAGAAGACCCTTGAGCTCTTCAACGAGATCGCCGAGGACCGTGAGCAGTTCGACAAGTTCTACTCTGCCTTCGGCAAGAACATCAAGCTTGGTATCCACGAGGACTCGCAGAACCGCGCTTCCCTTGCCAAGCTCCTCCGCTTCAACTCCACCAAGTCCGGTGAGGAGCAGACCTCCCTTACCGACTACGTCACCCGCATGCCCGAGCACCAGAAGCAGATGTACTACATCACTGGCGAGTCTCTCAAGGCTGTCCAGAAGTCGCCCTTCCTTGACACCCTCAAGGACAAGGGCTTCGAGGTTCTCTTCCTCGTTGACCCCATTGACGAGTACGCCATGACTCAGCTCAAGGAGTTCGACGGCAAGAAGCTTGTCGACATCACCAAGGACTTCGAGCTTGAGGAGTCCGAGGAGGAGAAGAAGGAGCGTGAGGCCGAGGAGAAGGAGTTCGAGGGTCTCGCCAAGAGCCTCAAGACTGTCCTCGGTGACAAGGTCGAGAAGGTTGTTGTCTCACACAAGCTTGTCGGCTCACCTTGCGCTATCCGTACCGGCCAATTCGGTTGGTCAGCCAACATGGAGCGTATCATGAAGGCTCAGGCTCTCCGTGATACTTCCATGAGCTCGTACATGTCTTCCAAGAAGACCTTCGAGATCTCGCCCAAGTCCGCTATCATCAAGGAGCTCAAGCGCAAGGTTGAGGCTGATGGTGAGGATGACCGCACCGTCAAGTCCATCACCCTGCTTCTCTTCGAGACCTCGCTTCTTGTCTCTGGTTTCACCATTGACGAGCCCGTTCAGTACGCTGAGCGCATCCACAAGCTCGTTTCTCTTGGCCTGAACGTCGACGAGGAGGTCGAGACCGAGCAAGAGAAGACCGACGCCTCCGCCGAGGCACCAGCAGCGGCCGGCGAGAGCGCCATGGAGGAGGTTGACTAAGCGCATCGCCCGTCTTGGCTGGTTTCGAAAAGTTTGGTCGGCGCTCTGATATCCCTTTCATGTGTCATGGCTTTCTTTCACTTTCTACACCTCACTTGCATGATGGACGGAGCTTAATCTTCGATGGCGTCTTAGAGTGGTGGTACTTTATGCATCACGAGTAATGGATATCCCGAAATGTATCTTACGTAGACTTGCCTCTGGGTAGTTTTCATGAATGATGAAATGTTCAAAACAATCTTGACCTCGGCTGTTTGCTTTTCTTTTGCTTCTTCATGGTGTGCTAGCTAACATGCAGCAACAAGTGTTCATCGCCAATGACAAAATGGCTCGTATCTGTTCCATCATTTCTAGTACCTATTTTCGCGCACCTTGGTTTGACAGACGCCAGTTTGGTGTTGTGATCGATCTAACAACGTCAGGGTCCAAGGCCGCCCATGTAACGGCGATCGTCCCGTGTCCAAAAAACAGGATCTCCACGGCCTGGGCCACTTTCGTACCTCCACAACAGCAAGGATGTGAAGGGTGCATGACGTATGAGGAAGCGCGTTCATGATGTCTAGAACGCGATTTCCTGGTACAACATCTGGACTGCTAAAGCCCATCCACGCTTGCTGCTGTTATTGCGATACTTGATCATTCAGCCTCATCTTCTAAAGCGCACGTTGCTATTCCAAAATGTCGGCCGTAGACCAGCTCAAGCAGCAGAATGCTGCACTCCAGTGTAAGCTAGCATATAATGTGAAGGACATGGACTAATCTGTTCCAGCGAGCGTCGGAAACATCTCCAAAATGGCTGGATCAACCACAACGGCCCCAGCGAAGACAGCAACATCAGCTGCCAAAGCTACGCCAGTGAAGAAGCCCGCTGCGACAGCTACGGACACCACAGGATCGGCTGCTGCACCAGTGAAGAGAGTGCCGAGGAAGTTGAATGCAGCAGGCGCATCTGCTTCAACTCCAGCAAAGACCGCAACCACGCCTGTAAAAGCGACTCCAGCCACGACTTCAACGCCCATAAAGAAGCCAGTGACCGCTGCTTCAGCAAGCAAGCCCGCGTCTACTACTACACCTATAAAGAAAACGCCCGTCACTGCAGGCAAGACCCCGATTAGTGAAGCTTCAAAGCCAGTACGCCAACGCACACCTCTGGGCACAACCAAGCCACTGCCAATACGTAAGAACCCGGTTACAGGCGCAGCGCAATCTCAGCCTGACAGCGCAGTCAGTAAGACGACTGGCGCTGCGCCAGTGAAGAAGACCACAACTGCTGCGTCTTCTACTGTAACAAAGGCAACCCCCACAAAGGCTACCCCAGCTAAAGCTACTCCCGTTAAGAGGACGCCGGCCAAAGTGAATCCAGACGGTACGGTCCCTACCAAAACAAACCCTGATGGTACTTACCCAACCCCTCTCTCCGTAATAAAAGCTCATCCCGCTCCAGGCCAACCCACTCCTCAGTCCACGCTAGCCGCGAAGAAGCAACCGGGCATTGTTGGCAAGGGGGTCAATACCGCCACAGGCACTCTGAACAAGACTGTTGGTACGACGACTGGAGGTCTCAACACTATCACCGACTCCGCGACCACGGGTGTAAACAGCACAGTCAACGGCGTGACTGGGTACGCCGGCAAGGGGCTGGACAAGCTACCTGGTGGTGTAGGAAAGCCAGTCAAGCATGTAACGGACAACGTGGGCAAGACAGCTACAGGCGCGGTCGATAACGCATACTATACCGTCGGTTCAGCGACCAAGGGCGTGCAAGGTACTGTTAGCAAGACCACTGGTGCCATTGGAAGGGGTGATGTCAAGGGCACTGTCGCTGGTGCGACGAGTGGAGTTGGTACGCTCACCTTCCCCTACCCGAATCACATGGCGCGCGGTATATGAAGCTTTACTGACACCAGTTCTAGGAAACACTGTGACTGGAGTGGGCAAGGGGGTAGGAAACACGGTAGGCGATGGCCTCGCTGGTCTCGGGAGCACAGTCGGCGGTCCCGTCGGTGGTGTGGTCGGAAACGTAGGCAAAGGTGCCAACAACGCCGTCGGCGGCATTACCAGTGGAGTTGGTGACGGCATCAGCAAGCTTGGAAAAGGAGATGTTATTGGCGGTGTTGGAAGCACCCTCGGTGGTGTTGGAAAAGGAGTCGGTGGTCTTCTTGGAGGCATCACAGGCTATGGAGAGGACAAGGAAAAATGAAGGTTCAAGGTCGAGAGGTGGTTGGATAGCGTTGAAGAGGTTGAAGATGAGGACGGGGAGCAGAAGAAGACTGAAGGAGATGTTGGGAAAGATGAGCTACACGACTCTGTACTAGAGATGACGGAAGCAGGTGTGCGTGCCCATGTTGAGCAATCGGATTCAGAGCATGCGCACGTCGGACAGGATGTCCACGAAACCTGATATATTGTATGTACATCTATGCAAGTTATTATTGCCTGATCAGTAGCTTACCATAACCGCGTACACGTACACATCCATGCAAAATGTTGCTACGATCAACATCCAAGAGCTGGCAGGTTGAGGATAGAACCATTTCTGCAACACTCATACAATACGCAACACCAATCCGCCTTGCACACTTATCATCACTCTGAGTAACATTAAAAACGCCGCCGGTAAAACGGTTATACGACACCACGCGGCCCTCATCGCTTGGAGAATACCTTGCGAACCTGCCGCTGATCATCTGGAGAAATAACGCCGAGCCGCTCCTCTTACGGCAATCTGCGTGACAGCCTGTCATGGTAGCGTGTCTTGCTTGCATTGCCGTGATAGCGCCTCTTGGTGTTTCGCCATGGTATGTTTGGCTCACTTCGAGCGGGCCGTTGTGGCTTTTGAAATTAGGTGCGTGGATGAGGTGGCTAGTGTTGGTGTTGGTGTTAGTGCGATCTGCAAATATCGAGGGATTTCGAGGAGATGATGGTCGTTTCGCTACTTCGAGGCTAGGCAAGTGTCCCATGGAGTTGCATATTGCGCTTCATGCTCCATGCTCATATGTTTGGTCCGGATACGACCTGGTCCTTAACTATCGATAGCGTTGATAAAGTACTGGAGATGTACTGCTTGGATGTAAAGGAGTCCTGTCTGCCAACTCCCTCCTTCTGTATGCATGTCATGCCGTTCCATGGATGCATTGTCTGATCTTGCACGCCCTATGCACCTAGTCTTTCCAACCAACCACATGGTCATCACCAATTGTTTGGTTCTTTGCGGGCCGTTACTTTATTTACTTCCAAATACCCCGGCTTGGGTGCCTGCGCCACTTTTGCGTCGTCACCCCAAGTACCACGCCGAAGGTTGCCGTGCTTCTCGTGTTTCCAAACGTGCTCAATTGGTACAATGGACATTCGGAGTTTGGGCCGGCCGCGGTAAAAATGAATGTCCTGCCGTCCCATCCGATGATGCTCCCGTCATGAGCTAGGGGAGGCCTTGCAAAAACGTTTGTTTGTTACAGGGTGAGATGAAAAAGGGCTGAGGTTTGACCATCTCACCAGAATGGGTGGCTTGCGTCAACTTTGTAGGATGGACAAGCATCAAGGCTTGGTATGTTCTGACATACGTCTGCGAAGCTTGTTTGATGGGTGATGTTGAATTGTCGCTCCTATCAGCTCTCACATATGCTTTCTAGTGAGGCATTTTGCTCATTAGCTTTTAGCTTGTACTTCGTATCGTCTCACTCCGGTCCCTTGAAGGTTTCGCGGCTCTCAGGTGCAAGAGGGCTTATTTCCTCGAATAAGACGTCGGACAACATCACACAACACAACACATACATCCTCTATTCCTGGCCCGTTGGACGACCATGCTCGGCAACATCAGCATCAGGCTTTTTTTGTTCCAAGCAGCCCTTTTCGCGGAGATTCAAGCCACATGTTCGGATGTATATGTGGGCCAAAGCGTTTGCACTAAACCTCTCGTGGACCAATCCAGGGACCAATCCATCCACTTTCACGAGCAACGTGAAGAAAGTGTGGCTGGGCTAGGTAGTATTCCCGGCACCATTTCACCCACTGGAACAATAGCGCAGGCGCGAATTCGTACCACAGTCCTTTTCTGAGCATGTCACTACCCAAGACTATTGGCCTGCCCAGCGTAGCCCGCCGTCAATGCAGCGAACCTGGTGAGGCGGTGCCTGGAAGAAGATCGCTGCAGGGTAACATATTCACTCAAGCCAGTTGCCGAGGCCTAGCGCAAGATGTGAATGCAAGCGTGCGTACACGCTGTGACGCTTTCTCCCACTCATTTCACGCTTGGTTCAAAGACTCATAAGCCACTCAGCTGCCCTCAACTACACGTGGCTCTTGAGACGATTATACCAAGACGCTGACCTCTGGCACCATTGGAGGGGATTCTTGATACCGGGTGCGTCGCTTAACATGTACATACGAGAGTGAACGCGCTAACGAGGGTCTAGATCCCAGTGATAGACTACATATCACCACCCAAAGCAGACTGTCACTATATCGTGAGATTCCGCCCCGCGAGTGTTGGAGTTCCTCATCTTCCACGCCTCGACTCCAAATACCAGAACCATGTTCTTCAAGAGCAAACTACTCCTCTCATTCGTGGGCCTTGCTAGCGTCATCGCTGCCCCAACGAAGCAACCCCGTCTTGAAGACCTCCAGTGCCGCTGCCTCACCTTCTCCACAAGTGCCGCACCTACGCTTTGCTCTTACCAGGAACAACTCACACTCGACTGGGACACGGCTTACTCGCTTGCAACCGTCAACGATCTCAAGATACAGTTCGCTAATAAGAAAGCCATGACCAAAGTTCTTGCACTTCCCAAGCCTGTGCCTACTAGCATCCTCTTGAGCGTTCATGAGGGACAGGTACGGCCATTGGACCCGGCGAAGAAGGTGCAGAATGAGAATAGAATTGTCTGTGGGTTCGGAGATGAGGTTGAGCACGTGGGGGATCACGAAAAGAGCCTGGAGGTAGAGGTGCATTATGTCGGAACCGTGCTGGGGCTGTTCATGTTGCTCCTCATCATCTACCTTGTTGGAGACTATCTGTGGACTAGGTGAGCTGCTGCAATTTCGCCTTGAGGGAACTGTGCACTAACAGTTGTTCTAGATACATCTCTCGTGTCGGAAGCATAAAACTGGAAGGAGATGAAAAGACTTTGACAGCCGAGTTCGAAACGTCGACGAACAACTTGACAATCGACTACCCTTGATCAACCTCGCGGCTTCGACTACTTTGTCCTACACTGTTCATATCAAAGACCTTCATTGAAAGGCATCTCAAGAGTGCAGTTGCACAGACGGGTTTCCCTTGTAAGCAGGGACCATGACAGAGAACTCGCCCGATCCGACTCCTACCTACCAACTCCAGCTGTGATTCCGGATAGACATGTCTGCAGAGCCTCATTATTCACACGATCGTCTTCGAGGTCTGTCGCTCACGTTGACAGGAGTAAACAGAGCGTAGTACACTCCCCGAAGCCTTTGTGAGGATTCGGCAGAGCATCATCACCCATGTGCGTTTCTGTAGAGGTGTCTCAGTCTGCCTGTTGTCTGTTCTTCGATAAGGGTTAAGAGGGCTACGACGCCAGGTGAAAGACGGCGAAGATTGCCACAAAGGGTACCTACCATCAGCGAACAATGCGCATGGGCGCCTCTTGCGAGAAAGTCGGCGATGGGTCGTTGGTATCAGATGATTTTAAATATATTCAAAGCATTCCTTGCTGCTCCATATGGCCCGCTGCTTGAAAGTTCTGGCACTCATTGAACAGTCAGAGAAAGTGCATTCGTTCCACACTATCATTCCTACATTGTGATTTTCTATCACAAAAAAATTGGACTGTTTAGCACTATACCGCATCACTGCTTGCTCAACAACTAAATCTATGATCATACATGATTATATATCCAGGCCTGACCAGCCCTATTACACGCTTTATATACATGTCTATACGCACTCATGATTCTCTTAGTATGTCCTCCGCTGTAAGCTTTCCTTCCCTTTTGCTATGCAAACAAAAACAAAAACACGCTCATTGGGGGTATAATCGCTTTCACATGCCTGTTCCCGCGTATTACTCCGGAAGATAACAATGCATTTCTCCAACTCTTCTTGCATATATATACGCCAAACGAGAGTGAGGTCGTCTGACGAAGACGTCGATTGTACATGTATACGTACGAGGGGCGCTCAAGTGGCTGACTCAGGGTAGCTGAGCTGGACTTTGGGTTCATAAAGCCTATTGTTACAAGATTAGTCCCAGCTTCAAACAAGTTGCTCAGTAACGTAGAAGGAACTTACATGAACGTCTCGTAACGAACACCCCTCCTCTTCTCCCTATTACGGTCTGTGCCCTCAGCACCGACGCCGGCATATAGCTGTGGTTCCCAGTCCACGACGTCTCTCCACCGCTTCATCAGCTTGCGCCAATAACATGCTTCAGCTGCTTGCGTCAGATATCTTTCTCTGAACACTTGCACCGAATTGTCTGCAATGCGCTTTGCCTTTTCTGGGTGGTCTAACAAGTCTTCCATGGCGGAGGAAAGGTCGGAGAAGTCGCGTTCTACTTCGACAAAGTTTTGGTTTGATCCGTTAGAACGGAAGAGGTAGTGGTGATGTTGTATCCATTGCAGTTTGTGCGAGACGATTACGGAGCGGCAGAGCTGGCGGTACTTCAGGGAGCCAGAGTAGGAACGACCTAGTGAGGACTGTTAGCATCGTTTTGGCTAATGCCGATAGACACCATCATACCTTCAGCATGGGCAATGAACATGTAATTACACTGATCCACTGGGCCCAAGAATTGCTCTTTGAAATTTGGATCTGTCCACTTGAGTTGCCCGACGTCACTCCATGGTTTGCCCTTGGCAGCATCAAGCAGCGCTCTCCGTAGTTTGGGCGCGAAGGTAATCTTGCCTCTCCAGACCAACTTCTCAATTTTCTGATCCCACGACTCGACGGTTTCTCGCTGCACAGCCTCTTGCGCAACCTCTTCCAGCGTACCCAGTGCAGGCATATCCCAGCTCCAGAAGCCAAAATCAGGTATCAACCACAGGTTGTGATCTTGGACACGACGGGTAAGGGACCATATCGGCTTCGCGGGCTGAGCAGGGAGGTCTTCGACAGAGAAGACAAACTCAATGTTTGGAATATCGGCGGTTGAGGGGGCAGCGAGAACGGCGCGATAGATGGCACTGAGGGTTGCAATGGCTTTTTGGCGGTTGACGTTATCGACCATATGAGTTTCGAGGACGTAGAGCTGTGTCATATGTCAGCATAGGCCCTGCATTCCCCAGATAATCGCCAAGACTGCACTAGAACGTACCTCTCGGTCATAAATCATAGCCCTGACCATGCCCTTTGTGAGTTCAAAACTGTTGAGATCCGCCTGTGTGACCTTGCCCCAGCGGTTCCTGACTTTGACCGCGCGCTCAATGTCCTCGTATTGACCGGGGAAAGCGCTGTCGCACTGGGCCTCATCCAGGCCATAGTTGTTCTTGTCCCGCGGATAGGTGAAAGTCCAAAGATTATGTTGCTCCAATTCTGTTGCATTGGTCGCGAGAATGGCCTGGTTGGAGGCACAGTCCAGACAAGTGTCGCATGAGAAAGTGGTACTGAACTCGCACAGACAGCGTCCTGCAGGCATGTACTCCTTGACTAGCGGCGGTAAGGAGGGGTTCTGTGTGCGCGTGCCATAGAGGATGGTGCAGATGAGCAGGAAGAGCAGAGCGCATGCCGAGACAAAGAAGAAGGAGAGGACTTCTCCGCCGGTGGGACAGCGGCGACGGTACACGGTCTTGTCCTTCCGCTCCTCCACTATCCACATCTTCTTCATGAGCATTGGTGCTAACCGAAACCGGGAGACGCGAAACCGAGACACGATGAGACGAGAGCGTAGACGCGCGAACGTGGTCGGTCGCAGGTGTCTATATTATCGAAATTGGGAGGCTTCGAAGCGTGGATGGGGGCGACATGGATGGCGACACTACCAGATGGATATGCACAGGCGAAGGGGAACACTAGGACTGGGTCAAGGGTGAAGGGCGAGCGGCGATGCGGCTGGTGGAGGTGAAGGATCGAAGGCAGAGCCAAGCCCCGGGCGGAGGAAAGAAGAGGGGCAACAATGGGACTGACGGCGGGAGGGATGACAAAAGCGCTCTCACAGTGGATTTGGCATGCTTGTTGACAAGACGTTTACCCCCATTGGAGATACGGTGAGGCGTTGCGGAGTGCAGTGGGCGGGAAATATAGGGTCAACGCTTGCATAGGACAGGGGTGCGCCATTGTTTGTCGCTTTTAAGCATCTCGGCTGTAACCGCAGCACCAAGTACGAGAATCGCATTCAGCATGAGAATCCCATGTCTGCTGGGATACATAGGCGAGCATCGTCTTCGCTGCGCAGACTCGGGCGTTCCCTGCGACTGTGTCTGTACGTCCGATTCTGACACTCCGTCCCTCGTGAGGTGCGACATCCTTGGAACTGTTGAACACGCGCGGCCTCTAGCAGCTGCCAGCCCAATCTGGTAAGGCGGCATGCGACCCACTGCATTTCCTTGATGTCACCTAAGCGCGCTTCTTGAAGATGCAATAGTCGCAAACATCATCGTTACTCTGGCCACAGGGCGCATGCATGCGCTTTTAGCTTCGCAGCAGCGGCATCTCCATGTGTTCGCATGCACACACAGATTTCTAGCTCTTGTACTTGGTGTAGTTGCGGCAGCAGAAACTCAACCCATCGCTCAGATTCCCAACGACATTGAATCCGCTGTTAGTCGCCATTAAACCTCTGCATTTGTGGGCCGTCCCTGGTTGTCGAACCCGTGGCTAGTGGCTTCACCATAGCGCGATGCAGTTCTGCACTTCACAATTGCCGTGGTGGAGTATTACATCATTATACCATGTCGCGTGAAGTACAGGTGGATCTTGCAATAACTTCATGTCGATTTGCAATGCATGCTTTTTTTGTTTGTAGATCCAAAAAGTGTAATAGATCGAGCACTGTAGACAGGACGTCATTGTTTGCATGTCCATGTACAATTCAACAATAGGATGTTGCATCCTGTGTGATAGATTCAGTTCAACCCGCCAACTCCCTGTAGGCGCTCGACCCGCTGTATGGGGAGGCCATCAATGCTAAGCGTTACTCCTAGATGCAGTAAGACAAAAGAGACACTAAAAGATATACAAGCACAACGGCAAGGTAAAGGCCAAAACCAAATGTCAACATGAACTGATTGGCAAAAATATGGATGAAAGGCTATGTACATGAGAAGCCTGAAGAAGAATCGGGATAAAAGGTATGTAACGGAAAACAAAGACTGAAGAAATGAATGTTGGGTGCTTGCTCAGCCAAGCTTGACCCTGTGAGCATGTGGGATCAGCGACCAACAAGTCCTACAACATATTGCAGGAGCATGTAAAGTGCCGATAGATACGGCGGCGCTGATCCTCACATACATACTGTCGCTCACGCTGACAGCACATGCATGTCTTCATCCGCCTCAGGGCAGATTCGGAACGGTTGGAAGACAGTCGTCTTGCCTTTATGAGCGTGTACCGCTAATCCCATCTCACGCATGCGTTCTGCACCACGTCCGGGAGCGGGTCGCTTCTCTTTGGCGCCTTTGCGGTGTTGCTTACGGTACAACTTCTCTTTGCGTCGTTGCCTCTTCTTTTCGAGCCCGACCTTGATGTCAATGGCACGGCGGATGGGCATATCCGACGCATCAGCATCCTCATCATCCTCAAGATCGAATGGATTTCTCATAGTGATGGGAGTTCGAGGAACGGAAGCTGAGACTGTAGGTGCAGGGCGCTCGGCAATACCAGCAAAGCGTATCGACGTATCGCTGCGTTGACGTGTGGTTACAGGATTGACGGAACCGCGACGTGTCGGTGGTGGTGACCTGAGACGCATTGGAGGCGGAGGAGATTGTAGCCGCTTGGGAGAGTTTCCAAACAGCTTACGTGGTGGTGGCGAGCGGTGCACAGCACGCTTTGCAGGTGGAGGTGATCGCAAGCGCTTAGGTGACGGTAGGGGAGAGCGCTTCTTGGAGATGTGCTGGCGCCCTCGTCCATCAATATTAACGGGGTCCATGCGACCATGGATCATAAGATGGTCAGATTCGGAGACTTTCTCATTCTCAGAAACCTCGTCCTCGTCATCGTCAGGAAGTTCGGGGTCCGACGTTGGGAATGTAGGGTCGATGTCCTGGGGCGTTGGCTTGTGCTTGGCTGCGCGCCGGCGCTCAAGTGTTGACATGTACGCAGCTTCGGCAGGCCTATCCTCGTCAAGAGTACCACAAACAAAGTCGGTACTGTCAGGCAGCTCAGGACTGGGAACACGGATGTTGACCGGCTTTGACTTTCTGCGCTTGGAAGGCTTATCCATGATCTTGAGACCTTCGCGGCTTTCCAAGGATCCAATCGACGATTCTGATACAGTTCGGTGGGTCTTTAGGCGAAGATGTTCCAAGTGCTCCACAGATGTCGCTGCGGTTGATGCTCCGGGTGCCCACCAATCGTAATCAGATCCAGCATCGTCCTCGTCATCTGAGACGGCAAATCCGTTCTCATCATCAGTCTGGAAGCCTTCATCAGTAGCGTCGCTGTAGGCATCGCTACCGTCCGCATCCTCGTCAAGCAGATCATCGTCGTCGTCGTCCATTTCAACATTGTCCCCATCGTCGTCCTCATCCTCGTCTTCTTCATCGATCGCCTCTTCTTCTGCCACCTCCTCGCCTAGCTTACGCAGGTTGTTCTCGATCTTGAGAGTATCCTGAACAGTAAGTCGGCTTCGGTGGCAGGTAACTTCTTGGGTCCATTCTTCAACCTCCTCCTCCGAGCTAGCAAACTCGTGGAAGCGGTATGCTTCGCAGCGAGCGAGGTCGGAGTTGGAACTCAAACGACGAGTTCGGTCAACCGGGCGTACCTTTCGGACGCTGACAGGAGAATTGTTGCGAACCGTAGAGTCCGAGTCCCGATGCACCTTGGTGGCAGGCTTTGGAGACGAAGGAATGCGGCGTGGTGGTGGTGCGGGACTGGCCATGCGCCTGGGCTTGGAGGATGCCTCTGTGGATGGCTTAGATGGACACGCGAACTTGATGGTGCAGACGCGCTTAGGAGGTTCTCCGGTTTGGGTTGCGGGCGCAGGTGCGGGCTTTGCAGGTGCCTCCACTGGCTTCTTATCCTCCTTTGGGCCGCATGCAAACATGATGCACCTCTTTCTTCCCAAAACGGCTTCAATGCTCTGCTCGGTGCTTTGAGGCACCGTCTTCGGTGCCGGAGTGACGTTCTCATCATCGTGCGAGACAACAGATACTGGTAGCTCCAACGGTTTCTTGTTGAACGTAGGCAACATGTTGTGGAACGCTCCCGAGGGGGGCGGTGGGCTCGGTGTGCAGGGCCGTGTGCCAGGGCTTGTGAAGCCTCCGTCGCTTGTGAGATCAGCTGTACCGCTGTTGTTGCTCCATGTTGAAACGCACGACATGCCGCGGACTGGGCTTGCATCCGAGTGTTCTTCGACAGGCGAGCTCGCGTTCGAGCCCGACTTGAGCGCCGAAGTGAGAAGCGATTCCTTGCGATCGAAGAGAGGTTTCGATTTGGTGAAGGATGTTGTTAAGGAATGACCAAGGGCCAAGGGTGCAGGACGCTGCGCGTAAGGTTCAGGGGGCTCGTCCAGATCGCCCACGATCTCGTCCTCGGCCGTCATGAGCGGTGGTGAGATATTTGACATGTTCTGCGGGGTGTCTGTTCGCAACGCGCCTTGTCTACCAATGTAATCCTGCTCGTTCGCCATGTGTTCTGCAGCCGGGTGGGTGTCGATGATGGAACGTGCGCAGAGTGGGTGCGAAGTAGTAGGAACAGATGCAATTGTTGAATGGGGCAATGATGTTCGAAGAGTGATGCGGTAATAGTGAAGTTGTAGGGGCGTGATGCAAAATATTGTCGTCGTCCAGGCTGTTTCTTTTTGGCGCAACGAACCTGCCGCAGCGTTCCTGGAGCCAAGTTAGACCAGGAGGTGTGTTGTGTCGATCGTTGGAAAGTCTCGGTATTGGAGTCGGTGCTGGCGTATTACTGCTTGGCTGTATCGATAGTTGTGTGCGAGGGTGGGGCCCCAGGGGAGGCGAAGTGTTATAATATCGACAGCAACATGGCGGACAAGTGTGAAATTGAACCGTGAATGGAACTAAAGGCGGGCTTGAGGACGTGTCAGAAGCGACAAGCGTCGGGCAGTGTCGAGTGGGAAGGGGTACCTGGTGAGGGTGAGGGAGAGTTACCCACCGCAACGTGTGGCGACGGGCCGCAGGCTAAGAATGAGCCCGTTGACAAGTGATGGCTAGCGGGTGTGTAGATCAACGACCGAGTCTGCTGTCAGACGACGACGCTGCGCATGAAATGCTGCAACAGTAGTGTGGCGCGGCGGGTGGGACTTGACTTGTAGGGGAGAGGAGAGAGAGGAATTTGATATGCGCTCTGGCGTCTCGGCATGATTTGGTTTGCAGAAGCAGGAAACAGTGGGTAATCGGCATTTTGATTCGTGCCCACGGACACCAGGCACAGCGCAGCCAATACCACGCTTGGCCTTTGTCAATTGCGCAGTGCCTAAGCATGCACCTGCTCCCGTGCTCCTGCTCAATTCACGCTGCCGCACCCAGGCGATGCGAGCTTGGCCGTCAGTATTGGCAATTTGTGCTCCGTCGTTACCACTCACCAAACACTTTGTTTGTTGAAGCGGCTTCTTTGTCTGTGCTGGTAGCATGTCATAGTCGCCCGCGACTAGAACACTCCAGAATCCGGTTTCAGTCTCCCAGGGCCCTCCGTGGACAGCTCCAGCACAGCCGATGCAAGACGCAATCGAATTGCGCACATCCTTGATTCCGCATGCTTCGGAACAAGGACCCTGATCAACGCGAAGGAAGCTCTTCAGGGCCACTTCCCCTCGAAGCGCTCTATCCCGCCGACGACGCCGCGCTAGCGACGCCTATGCTCATGCCTCACACCTTTTTTCGACCATCCGTCTGACGTCGCATGCATCCTGCTGCAAGCAACACGACCACATGCACGCGCTGTATGCATCTCTGCTCAGCTCGACCCCAACCACGCCAGCTTACCTTTTCTCAAATGCCTCACTTCTCGACACATTTCAAGAGCTCCATCCAGAGCTCCATCCAGAGCTCCACTTGCTGCTTCATCTCTCTCCATCAACTCTTCACCGCTACTTGACCGCTTCTCGTACTTTGCGCCTCACCTCCTAGTTCTAGCATGGTGGACGCGTCTACACTGTAGTACATCATCTGACCGTCTATGGGGCGACGCCATTCAAGCCTTCAAAACAACGGGATGCCGGTTTCAACCACCGTGCCCTGCATCAATCTGCAAGATACTGCTCGTGCGTCGCCGCGCCCTTGTGCGCAGTGCCCAGCAATAGGGTCCATCAAGTCTGGGATTTCGTTCGCTGAAAGCGAATATGCTCGCCTACACCATCCCGCCAGCAAGCGCCTCAGCCGGCTTAGATCAAGCTTGTTCCAGTCGCCGGCGTTGTGCACGCGGGGAATCAGCCGAACCCTAGGATGCTCTCCAGAATCTCTGGGGCTAGTTTTACGCAATATCAAGTACCGACTACCCCCACGCGCGGTTTTCGCGCCAGTGGTGAAGTCCTGTGTCTTCTATACGTGTGTTGCATACTTGTCAAGTACCCCTCCACGTTACGAAGTTTAGGCATTACCCGGCATCCGGCGCGGCTTGCTACTTGCGGTCAGGCCTAACATTGCTGTCTTCTTCTGAGATAATCCTTGTCTTACCGCAATGACGTAGTTCTCGAAGCCGATAGCCGCTTTGCATATGCGCGTGATATTCAGCACTCGATACGCCCCTCATCGGTCTACGGCGTCGTAAACACATGTCGTTGCTTTCGATCCCCACGTGTCGAAGGTGGACCTTGGGTGCCACCAAGGTTCCTCCCCTCACTTGCTAGTTGACTCGGCAGTGGAGCGGTACTTGCGCCATACTTGCCTGGATGGCTGTCTTCAAACTTGCCAAAACACTAGAGGCCAAGACGTGTCGCGACGCACTTACAAACGTGATCGAGTACACCTGCTGCAAGAGCCGTTTTGACAAGCTCAACGTCTGGTTAAGCGCCAATAGATGTTATAGCAACATTAGGTGACGGAATGCTGTGAACAACTCATCTGTACTCGATCTCGATCCTACACCCACACGCAAAAAGCAGTCTTTCACATGTCTACGTTTTTTTCTCTTCCTACTCATCTGACATCACCCGACATCTCCTACCACACTTTCCATACAGCCCTATCCAACACTTCGACCTCTGCACACCACTTCAATCTTACTGTCGCACAATAACGTCCCGTCCATCCAAGCCAAGCGCGCCTAAGCAATACATAACCTTTCCTCGCTTCAGCCAAGTCCTGGGCATGGCTGGTCATCTCTAGTCATCTGCCTGTTTCATAGATGCGGATCATTTGCAAGTAATACCGAAAGCCAAGCCACATACTCGGGAATAGTCTGGGGGACTTGTGTCAGACTATGGGGTTGGGGAAGACGTGGAGTAGGTACTGTAATCTCCGAGAACAGAAATGGAGGTTGTTGCGCATGACTGGCTTCCATGAGTAATCTTCCGGCGCTGCTTCGAACTAGCGCGTTGGTAATGAAGTAGGTGATCTTGGAGCCGCGAGGCTTAAGGAACCTACCACATTGAATACCTCTTTTTTTTTCCCTTCAGGAAGCCATTTCATGAGTCGCCTAGATATCTTACACCCTAGATACGATGGTTAGAATTCAAACTCGAACAATCCTCACTGTTGGAAAATACTACATCACTTTTGGCCAACCCATAAAATTTGTTCATATCATGTAGTGTGCGATGGTGATCATCTCGAATGACTATGACTGCCGTTTGATCGCCCGTAAAGCATTCTAATAGGGCCATGTGGTTGTAGCAAGTTTACTACACACACTCCATTAACACTACTCGTTCGAACTGGGTATGCTCAACGGCCTCAACTCTTGAATCTGATTCCCTAGTTGTCTCCCCTCCACTCGCAGCTCCTTCTTCCAATTGTCTCTGACAAAGTCCAATGTCCTCGCAAACACCAGTTCTCTCTCGTCGCGCTCATGCTGAGGCACAAACGTATCCGGAAACTGTGTCCAGCCATGTCTGCAACCGGGCGCGTGCCAAACTTCCATGCCTCCGTTCTGCGTGCTAGGCACGTTGGAAGATCCAGCTTGTCCGCCCCGATGTCCGTCCCAGTCGCCCTCTCGTCCGTCGCCAAAGCGCACAGGACCATTCCAATCATTGTTGTTCATCTTGTCTACCCATACATCGCTTTGTACTGCTAAGCTATCCTTTTCAGGCAAGACGAGGAGGATGGCAGCGTTTTTCTGGATGTGTACAGGATCGTTCAAGCCGGGGCTCGCTCGTGGATGTGGTCGCAGCTTGCGCGGGAGATATGTTGGACCCATGATTGAAAACAGTCCTGGTGCTTTCGGCTTCTGCTGATGGTGATCGTCAGGTCTCAGCGCGTTGGGCAGAGGCTTCATGGGACGCTCATGTGGCAGTAGTCGTGCGTCTAGCGAAGGGTAGAACAAGAGAAGTGGCAGCATGCGGGGCTGTGCTTGGGGTGGGGGCAGGAGAGATGGCCACGACTCGAAAGGATCGTCCAGTATTGTGGCTCTGCGGTTTTCGGGCAATCTGGGGGACATGGTGTCCGCAGGGGCAGGACCATTGGTGCGCGAGTGAGGCCCTAGTGTAGTCGACATTCCAAGCTCGGGACACGGAGGCACTGATATAGCCATGTTCAAAGCAATGTTTCCTCCTGCTGAGAAGCCCGAGATTGCAAGACGTGTAGGGTCGAGAGTGATGGTCTCGCAGTGCTCGACGTGTGGAGCAGTAGGTTCCTTCTTGTTTTCCAGCGCATCCGATCGTATTATCGAGTAGTACCGCTGAATTTCCTCCCTAAGGACCTTGCCGGCCTTCGAAACCCCACTTGTATCGAGTATGGCTGATAGAACGTCTTCGGCGTCGTGGATTGCCGCAGGGAATTGATGGAAGGGTCCTATGCGATACGACACGCTGATGACAACGGCCCCGAGCTCGCGAGACATCATTGAAGCGTACGGCGCTTGTTCCAACGGCGATCCCATTATGAAGCCTCCACCTGGTTCCGTTAGCCTCGAGTGTCCCTGACGTTATGCACCTCGTATCCGGGCTTCATACCATGAAAGTCCAGCACCACAGGCACACGCCATTTTCCAGTCTCTTTCCTGTCTTGATCGCCATTGCCCTCAAGATCGACCGGTTTTGGCGGCACAAAGACGTAGATATAGATGAGGTTGCCTCTTCGACTTGGCAGCGCTACGAGAAATGGATGCGGCCCCTTAGGCGACGTGATGTGTAGGATGGAGAGGGGAACAAAACGCGGAATCTGCACGAGTGCAGTGCTGTGATGCAGTCAGTAAACATGTCATAGATAATCCGCAGTATACCATACCGCCATTGGATGCGAAAAGGAAGGCGGAAGAAGTAGGCAATCGAGTGCCAATAGCTGCTCATCATTACTATGACATAGAGGTAGGTAGGGCGGCGACGTTCATGGCGCGAAGGACTCGTCGTATGCGGCTGCGTCACGCATTGAATGCTGAGTGAGCAATGTGTGTGGGCGCGATTGAGGATACTAAGGGGGACGCGGACTGTGTGCCCAGCTGGAAAGCACGGAAGCCATGGAAGCCATGGGCTGGTGTGACGTCAGATGTTGTTCGCGTGTTGCGATGCAGGTGAAATCGTGCCCTGGCCGAGAATTGTTGATTGTGTTTCAGTTTGGTCCGGGCTGGGTCAAAGCTTAAATGAGCGAAGCATCGCGTCGATAATGCATCCATACTCAGACAAGTTATAGCAATTGCAGATCACGTTAGCGTCATGTCCGTCATCTGAAGACATCAAAACGTTGTTCGCGTGTTTGCGCGTTTGCGCATCGTTCCAGCACCCAAACGTAAAGGCATGCAAACAATCTGTAGGGTAACAATGGGGTCGCGCGAACACGGAAGACGCACTATGAAGCCAAGGTTGCGTTCAATCGTCCAGAACACATAAAACATATCACAGTCTATTGAAAAGCATTTAAGTACCAAACACACTGTGAGATTCGGTTTATCTAGAGCAGCTGACCATGATCACTATGCCATATGTTGGCGTAGACGGAGAGCGCAAGCCGCCTGAAGCAGGCTAGGTATCACGTACTCTTGAGCGACACAAGACGCAGACATACCAAAGCAGCCTACCAAGCAGCCACCTTGTCGTCGGCATCAACAGAGAAGCCACCACCACCAAAGCCACTATCATTGCCACCGCCGCCAAAGCCGCCAGCATCAACGTCGAAACCACCGGCATCACCGCCAAAGCCGCCACCGAGACCGTCGTCAGACTCGTCATCAGTACCGTCATGCCAATCGATAGTGGTAGGGTCGTCGGGCATGTGCTCCTGAAGAAACTCTGGAATCTCTTGCTTCGACTCGCTGCAGAGGTGGAGATACAAAGTCAGTGTATGTTTCATGCATTTAGATCAGTCATAACTTACCAGAGAATCTTGCATAGATCTGGACCAAGGTCTTCGTTGCGGTCATTGTAGAAAGACGTGGCCTTGCCCTCGTTGCCGATGCGCGCGGTACGGCCGATGCGGTGGATGTACTCGGTGATACCGTCGTGCATGGTAGAGGGAAGGTCGTAGTTGACGACATGCTTGACATTGGCAACATCAAGACCACGAGCAGTGACGCCGGTAGCAACCAGGATAGGGCAGCGGCCGGTACGGAAGGAACGAAGAGCATCCTCGCGCTCGCGCTGAGTACGGTCTCTAATATGAAGTCAGTATATGTCCCACGTTGGGATCGTACAGGGTTGTTGCATACGAGTGAATGGAGGTGACAGGCAAGCCCTTGTTGTACAGATAGTCATCCACCATGTCGCACTTGACCTTCGAGTTGGTGAAGACCAGAGTGCGCTGGGGTCCTTCACTGAAGATCAAGTCGAACAGCGCCTGGCTCTTGGCGCTCTCCTCAGTGAAGATGATCTGCTGCTTGATGTTCTGATGGGTGCTGCCAACCCTACCGACCTTGATACGTACACACTCTTCATCCATATACTCTTTCGCCAATCGGCGAGCAGACTTGGGGAATGTAGCAGAGAACATGAGGTAAGTGTGGTCAGCATCCGAGTTCTGATCTAGAGAGATTGTTAGCAGATGACGGAGAAGATGAGTCTAATAGCAAGCTATAAAAATTAATGTTTGCAAAGGCTAGCATACCCGAACCCTGGAACAGCTTCTCCATGGCCTCTTCCCAGCCAGTCGAGAGCAGCTCATCAGCCTCGTCGATGACCGTGAATCTTTTTATAATGGTCAGTAATGCGATCACGTTGCGAGCTTGCTTGACTTACTTAAGACGGCGGAATGACAGCAGGTTGACATTCTGCATGAAGTCCATGAGACGACCCGGAGTGGCGACGAGGATGTCACAACCCATCTCGAGCTGCTCGCGCTGGTTCTTGGTAGGCGCACCACCATAGACGACGCAAGGACGCAACATAGTGCGGTAACACAGTCGACGCGCCTAAAGTTTGTGTGTATGCAGTCAGTATGTGTCTCATCTGTAAAGTTCACCCTAAAGGTGCACGCTGTGTTTTGTGTTGTACTTTGTACATATAAAACACAGCGAATGCCCTCGGGATACTCGGCAGTGCTAGGAAATATCTCTCACCTCATCGAAGATCTGGCAGGCGAGCTCGCGAGTGGGACAAACAATGAGGACGAGCGGCTCAGCGCGGACTTTGTCAGTCAAAGGGTTGTACCGGACTGGGTTTGGACGCGGAGCAGCTAGCTGACGGGCCTTGCCCATGAGCTTTGACAGAATCGGAAGGAGAAAGGCAGCAGTCTTGCCGGAACCTAAGCAGTGTCGGCAAAAAGAGACTGGATTGTGTTCGAGGTGACTTACCTGTCTGAGCAACAGCAACGACATCATGTCCGGACAAGATGGCGGGGATGCAGTAGGCCTGAATCGGAGTTGGAGCCCGGTACTGGCACAACTTGACGTTGTCGAGCATGACAGGGTGAAGACCAGCATCCTCGAACTAGAAATATTAGCAGAAGCATCTACGAATACACACAAGTCAATGTTTGTGTGACTCACGTTGCGGACAGGGCTGATCTTGGCGGGTCCCTCGAGAGTTATGTCGAACGAGAGCGCCTTGATGGCACCGCCGGCGCGCTGGAGATACTGGTCGTCGAACAGCATTTTCTCCAACTCTGGGTTGGGCTCGCCCACGTCACCGAATTCATCGTCCCACTGGTAAATGGCGGCATCGGACAGCCAGACGGCAGTGTCGCGGGTCTCGTCCTCAGCGGGAGTGCCACCAACGACGGTCTCGTACTGGAAAGGGACAGGATTATTCCATCCAGCATCTTGAGCACGCGCGAGATCAGCTGCCTGCTGCTCCTTGCGGGCTGCAGCGGGATCGGTCGCAGTTGCCACAGGCGCTCCAGTGTCAGACATGGTATAGATGAGAGGATGTAGTGCGTGCAGCTACTGCTTGAAAGAGGTTATAAATTGCAACGTGGACGAGCGTTGGGTGGTCAACGTAGGTGAGTTGGAAGTCACGGTGAGAGTAGCCGTTGTTGTTTATATTGACAGAAGGAGCAGGAGCAGTACGCAGTAGTGTCTCTTAGCGCGCCTTCCTGGAAGATCCTGGTGCCTGACGACGACCACAGCAACAAGCGGGAGGCGAGAAGCTTCTGTGGCTCAGGTGAAGGAGGAAGATGTCATTGTGGGTATGTATGGGTAGTCCGTGTGTCAACTGATATGTACGCTGATGCCAAGATACCACAAGGAGATGCGGTGTGGTTAGAGCAGCTGCAACGTCTATGGCACAATGTGGGGCAAAGATGTGACTGATCAACACGATATCCATGCTCTTTTGGAAGAACGAGTTTCTTCGTAGCCACGACACAAGGTGATGAGCGGTGAAGCACCACTTGAGGCCAGGGACCCAAGTGAGAGAAGGAGGAAGAGAAGAGAGAGGGCAGAAAGCCTCCGGTAGGTTTGAAGATAATGAGAGAGTTTGTATCACTTACGAAAGATATTGGCAGCTATGCTAACTGACAGACATATGAAGGGTAGGTATAAACGTCCGACATGTTCAACACCATAGAATGAGAACAAACACTGTATTGGTCGATGATGAAAATCACCACAGCATAGCGAAGCGAATCTCACTCAGTACTGCTATATTCCTGTGACATGCAAGAAAGCCCGGTATTACTCTTTGCCTCTTGCACGAACAGTAGTCTGAGATGATGACTGCCAGCGCTGTCGGATCGTTTTAGTAACCGGTGATCAGATACTACTCTTGCTAGATAGCAGTATGTGGTTTCTGAAACGAACTATTGTGACGACTACGGCGTTTCGTAGAGATGGCCACTGAGACGTGACTGAAGGAAACTGAGAATGGAACGGCGCAGCATGAACAATTCATAGATAAACTCAGAAATCGGGTCCGTCGCACCATGCTTTATCGATCTTGGAAACTAGAGTCTTCCCCAGAGTGCGTCGTCTACCTGTCCATAATGTATGGCTGACACGCATTTCTCACCTTCTACAATATGGTGCGATGTGTAATTAACCTGCTATATGTCTTTTTTGACAATACATAGCGCAGCAGAGCGTCGCCTCCACGGCGAGTTCCAGTCGTATAAGAGGGCGGAGAAGGCATCTGCAGCGATTGTCGTCGACAAGACCGCCATTGTATACTCCATCTAACTGGAAGTTTGTCAGCACTGTTCTTTCATTTAGGCTCAGAAGCATATCGATCCTTTTCACAACAAGAGAGCATTGAGTTGTGTCAACTCGACTAGATTTGACTTACTTGTTTCACTTACTCTCTGCACATCTGACACCTAGGTAGTTTGCTCGTGCTTTCGAAACCCTCCTGCCTTGATGGAACACTCTGTCTTTCGAAAGACGGCCCTCGGAACAACATCAAGGCCCCTAGCTCGTGAGCCTTTGCGATTGATTACTAGTATTACACACTCTGGATGTTAGAGTTGTTCACTGTGTTCACGAATGAGGGCAGCGGATTAAGTCTTGCTCGTACAAGGTCCATAGAAACACGTGGCCATCCCGCTGGAACTTGCATGGGGTACATTGTCAACCTCCAAAGCAGTTATCCAGCAAGGATAGAGTCTTATTCCGCTGCTTTTGACCGTTTCCGTCGTATTATTACAAACGAACAAGGTAATATGGGCTTTGGCTTGACGGACTGCCCCAAGACAACTTTCGAGACAGCTCTGCTACATCAAAGTAGACCGCTGGATTCTCTGATACCATAAGCCGAATCAAGTCAGTGCTCACTTGTGCTCGTAGATACACTATCCGCCGTGCCATCACTCGAACAAGTGCCGCGATCTGACCATTAGTTCATTGTCGATATCCAGCCCCCTCGAAACTACGCCTACCTGCTTCTGTTGACTATCTGCATGTTCCCCCGCGGTATCTGCAATAGGATTTTGCAAAGACATGATACGCATATCACACAGATAAGCATCGTCGGAAAAATGAACGTATTGACGATTCAACGTCCAGTTGCGAGGCAACCTCGTGTATAGTCCAGAAGAGCTACTACGAAGCATTTACGTTAGTTAGATGCCATTTGAAAGTCGGGCCGATAGGCTTACCTGCATCACTCAATACGTCTCTTACATTTCTCCATTGACTGTACTAGAGGTAACTCCTTTTTGATGTTGCGGTCAAAGCAACCAAAGATTGGTGGCTTGTTCCATTTAGCGAGTGGCCCGGCCGGGTGTACGTCATCAATTGTTACTTCCTGGCGTTGTCCACGCGACAACCCGCGCATCTCGCGCATCTTGGTTATCTCACATGCACGCCCCTCGTGCACACGCCTGCAGGTCGTCTTCGTGGTTTCATTTCTTCTTGACGCGACATGCACCTAGACTCATTTCTACCAACTCTTCTGTTCAAGACCCTACGGTTTGACTGATCATGAACGATCCCGGCCTTGATGAGCCAGCCACAGAGGCAGCGCAAGATGTAAACAACAGAGTACACGCCGAGGGCGACCAAGCTGAGCAGGAAGAGCGAGAATATCTTGATCCAAGTTATGTTCCCCATTACCCCGGCCCCGCTTCGCATACGCTGACGAATTCAGTCAATGGTGGTTTGCGTCCACAGCGAGCCCCCTCATAGCAGGAACATTCGGGCCTATCGCCAACGGATTTTCGATTTGCGCGCTGGTTGAAAAATGGAGAGTGTATATTCCTCCTGGAAGCGATGAGGGACATGGATCGAAGATCACAGATCCGAAATGGCTTATCGCGGTCAACTCGGTCTCTCTTGTCTTCGCTCTGAGCGCGAACATCAGTCTGCTCCTCAACATGTCAAGGAGACTGACTTTCGAAATTGCGCAGCCTATTACCATCATCGGCTTCTATCTAGCTGGCTTCCTTCTGATGGCGCTTGTGGCTGTCGCTTCATCATCCGTGTTTCGGATCCAGCCTATGGAAGAGCATGCCTTGAGCCAAGCATTCTACTACGCTATTATAGCTGCCGGCATCTACTTTATCATAGCCTCTCTTATGGCCTTTACTGCCTTCGGGGCGTACAAAGGGCACTACGCCAGGGAGTTTCGATTGACAGCTAGTCAGAGGACGCTAATGTTGCAGACTATCGCCTTCATGGTGTATCTGCTTGTTGGCGCTCTGATCTTCTCTTACGTAGAAAACTGGATGTTCCTGGACGCCGTGTTCTGGGCCAACTTTACCCTCCTAACGATAGGATTCGGTGGAGAATTTGTGCCTAAAACACACACTGGTCGCTCACTCTTGATTCCGTATGCAATTGGTGGCTTAGTCACAGTTGGTTTGGTTATTGGTTCCATCCGATCCCTCATTCTAGAGCATGGAAAACAAAAGATGGCTGCTCGATTCATGGAAGTTAAAAGACAGAAGGTCCTCGAGTCTATCGATGGTGACACACATACCATACGCATCTCAATCTTTGAAAAGGTCAATTTCTCTTCAAAAGGGTTGACAGAAGCTCAAAGACGAGAGCAAGAGTTTCGTATAATGCGGCGCGTTCAAACGTTGTCCGAGCGGAAGAGAAGATATACTGCATTGGCTCTGTCAACCACTGCCGCGCTTCTGTTATGGTTTCTGGGCGCTCTGGTCTTCATGTACTCGGAAAAGCCCCAGGGATTTACCTACTTCGTGGCGCTATACTACGCCTATGTTTCTCTCCTCACAATTGGTTACGGAGACTATGTCGTCCAAAGCAATGCCGGGAAAGCCTTCATGGTGTTTTGGAGTTTGCTCGCAGTCCCAACACTGACGATTCTTATTTCGAACATGGGTGATACAGTTATTAAGGCTTTCAAAGACTTTACTATCTGGCTGGGTTCACTCACGGTCCTACCAGATGAAGAAGGACTGAGCGCCGCACTTAAAGTCGGATGGAGAAGGATCAAATCCGGCAAGATCGGTGAAAAGGAAAGAGTGGGCTATCACGAGGGTCCTACCAGTCCAAATGAACAACGCACTAATGACCGCTTAGCAGCGTACCTTGAAGAGGAGCAGCTTGGAAAAGCACAGGAGGCGGACGAGCATGGAGACTATCTTGAGCGTGATATCCGATTTTATCACTTAGTTCTCGCAAAGGAGGTTCGGAAACTGATGAAGGACGTTGAGAGTTCGTCGTCGAAACAGTACGAGTACCATGAGTGGCAGTATTACTTGCGTTTAATCGGTCAAGACGAAGATGACGCTTCCAAACATCGACAACCCAAAGCCAACACTCGACACGACGACGGTGAGGCCCCTGATATCGGCTCTGCAGACGACGGAAAGAAGCTCGCATGGAGCTGGCTCGGCATTCGCAGTCCGCTCATGGGCAACCAATCCGAGCCTCAGTGGTTGCTGCAAAGATTAGCCATGAAACTGGAGTCGGAGATGCGCAAGATGAGCTCACCTGATGAAGAAGTAAGAAAGACCAAGCCACCGATCTCTATGGCAGAGTTGAGAAAGAGAAAAGGCAGCGGAAAGACGTCGGAAGATGCGCATACGTTGCAGGTGGATGTGGAGGCCTCGACAGTCGATCGACACGCGAATAAGGAAGATTGAACGCGTGAAGGGGCGATATCGGTGCATTAGACGTGAAGTGTGCGTTATGGCGTTTGCATGTATTGATTATGGAGGGTTCATATACATTTTCTAATACATCATAATTACCTACACCGCAGAGAGTTCTATTCTCCTTCTACGACTTTAGAGCACCAACAACAACAACTCAACTCTCACTATGTCGTTGGTAGCCATTTCGCTGCCGACTTTATGGCTTGCACCTCCTCCAGACTTTGCTACTTTTTCACATGATCCCAACATTGAACCTGCATCTATCGCTATCAGTGCCATTTTCGCTAGCCTTGTCGTTGTCCTTGTTGCAGTCACAATTAGCAAGAAGAACAGGGGCAGTTTTCTTGATGACACCAGTGAGCACATAGAGCGAATGGACAAGCACCTCAAGATTAGTGGGCCACTGGAAGACGTACTGAGAAGGAACAATGCAACAGACCACCAACCCAGACCAAGGCCATGGTCAGGGTTTTCCAGTTCCAATTCGGATATCGTTCGAAGAGATCATGAAGTCGAAGATAAAGAAGCAGAAGCAGCAGCAGCAAGTAGAGGAGCTTTTGAACTAGCCAGCAAACCAGTTCGTACACCAATCTTCCACATTACCGCACCACATCCCCCAAACGCTGTTGAGCTCGAGGTCCGTCCGCGTTTACTCTTACAAGGCCATGAATTGCCTACTCGAGATGTTTACCTACCGCCACCCCAAATTCCCCAGTCTGGTAACTACAGCGGCAGTAGTAGCAAGAACAATGCGCTTCTGCAGACGCACTCTGCACATACTGCCAGTCGAAATCCGCACTCCGAATTCGGCGACGATAGTACGGTCGTGGGCGACAAAGCCGAAGTCGAGACTCTGCGTAGCGACCTGAATTTTCTGGATACAGACTCCGATAATGCATCTTATGACGAGAGGCAATGGAAGCTAATGGACAACAAGGCACTCGGCTTGCTAGGCAGGCACTGGGAGTGATTTGGAAGAGTACGGAAACATCGATTAGAGTTGGAATTAGAGGTATCAGTATTGTATCAAATCGATGTGTCATCCACATTCCTGCCAGCTCAAACTCTCACTTCAGCCGCCCAAAATCAGCCTTGAGCTCGACGTCTCCATCTTCATCCAAAACTTTGCCTCGATCCCACTCCCTCGCCTGGCCCTTGCTTGTCCACACCACATCCTCCTCATTCTGTGTGTCTCCTCTTTCCCACTTCTTCACCTGCGCGTCTGTGAATCCTGCGGCCTTGAGTCGATCAGCGCCTTGTTGCTGCCAGCGAGCACGGTCGCGCAAGGCTTCCAGAGCATCACCCCAGTCGTCTTCCACATCGGAGGTTACGCAAACGTCTGTAGAGGGGTCGTAGGTGGAAGAGAATCGCGATTCGATGCCCATGTTATTTGCCTTGTAAGCACCACGTCCTTTGGAACGTACGGTGGGTTCGCAAGGTGGTGGAATTGGGCCTACGATAGCTTCGAGGGGATCAGAGTCGGATGCTGGGGATGCGGATCGTTTATTGGAACGTCGGTCGTCTTCATGCGAATTGGTGGTAGTGTGCTTCTGCTTTGGACTTCGAGAACGAGTTCGGTCTCGATGCCTATTACGTCTCCTATGTCTTTCGGTATGCCGTGACCGTGATGGCGAAGATGTTCTAGAATGCGACCTGTGCCTTCTATGTTTGCGCTCGGTGTCGTCGCTCCTTCGAGGTCTCCAACGCTCTTGCTCTTCATTGTACTTGTCTTTGCGCGATTTGTCTCGAGGAGACCTCGATCGTATCCGTTTCCGACGGGAACGGTCTTCCTCTTCACTATCATGTTTTCTCTTATGCCGATACTCATCTCCACTTCTGTCTCGATGTCGATGGGATGATGCACCCGCCGAAGCATCCCGTTCCCTGTTTCTATGCTCTCTCCTATGCCTGCTCTTATCCTCACTTCGGTCTCGCCGTCTGCGTGGCGTTGCGTCGTGGCCGTCATTGTCGCTTGCTGCTGTGGTCAGCCGTCCTTCGGGGCCTCTGCCGTTGTCCTCTTCGCGATCGCCCGCCCTTTTCCGGTCGCGGTCCATCTTCCTAAGCCGGGCGCGTGACTCCTCCGCCTCTTTCGCAAGCAGCGCAGTATTGTGGCTATCAGTCTGGCGAATGAGGTGTTGCAAAAAGTTCTTGTTCGGTCTCGGCGCGCGAGAATTCATCCTGTGGACGTGAGCCTGAGAAATCCCGCAAACGAATGCTTGTGTACTTTCAACGCGTATGCAACGGCATCGCGGGTACGGAAGCTTGTAACGCACCTCCTCGGATTGAAGGCATCGATGCCAACAAGCTCATATGTCTTTGTGGCCTTCTTCGCATCTTGCTTGAGTAGTTCTGCAACGTATGCATCGTCATCTATGTCGCGCGCCATGATCGGCGGCTGTTGTGTGGGTGGATGGAAGAGTCGCTGAAGTCTGGGCTCCCGAGAACCCTGGACGGCCATGTGAAATCATTCCGGGCCATGCGACGGGCCGGGCTAGCTGCATGCGGTAGTCGCCGCGGGGAACTCAGCCCTACGCGGGCAGTCGCGAATGCCCAAACAAACATTCAATCCCTCTGCAAATCAACATACATACGACGAGCAACATGGGACCCAAACGAAAATCGGCTCCGCCAACACCGGAATCAGTACTGGAACAGTTACAGCAATCCAAGTCGCTGAAGCTTCTGGCCATTGCCGAAACATTATCGCCAAAGGATCTCCCACAGGCTGAGAAGAAGCGCAATTCTGCAGCATCAGAGGACAGCGAACAGAACGGCGACACCCACCCGGCAGCCCTTGAAGCTGATCTGCTCCACTACAAAGTTTGTGTTTTCGCGACCCTACCAAGAATTCACGTCTGACCAAGGATGCAGGAACTCTTCAGCAAACTACGCTTCAGCTATGTCGAACAGGTCACCAAAGAGAAGTTCCTGCGCAGCATAACGGAAAACCCACCCCGCTTAGTCGAGGCTCCGGAGAATGATGAGAAGGAGAGAGAGATACTGGCTCTGAAAGCAGAGCTCAAGGAGCGCAAGTTGGAAGTAGCTGAGATCTTGAAGCAGCTGGAGGACAAGGGAAAAGAGCTTGCGTTGCGCTACGAGGGGCTGCAACTACGCACACAACAGCTTGAGTCACTTCCAGCCGAGATTGCAGGCCTCGAGGCGAGACTTGAGCAGTTGAAGAACGACCAAACACCAGTATCAAAGAACCCTGAGTTGTCTCTGCCACTTCCTGAAACTCAGCGAGTACTCAGCGAACGAGAAGCGGAACTCGCAGCCCTGAATGCGCAAATAGCAAGTCTCCAAGCTACCATTCCGAACCGGACCAGAGACCTGGAGAAGCTCGAGCGTGAGCTGAGACCACTAGAGACACAGAAACAGGGAACCGTAGCGGCAGCCAAAGAGGCCCGGAGACGGAAGGAAGAAGGCGGTGGGATCGGAGATGAGCTAGAGGAGAGAGGCAGATGGCTCCGAGCGTCTGAAAAGGCGCTAAGGGAAATGCTGGAGGTTGAAGGATGACGTCTTTTGTGATGAGCGTGTATGTGATGTGTTTCTGTCGGCGTTACGGACTCGAGATACCACTTGGAACAAATTTTTCTCTTTGCACAGTCTCCTTCCTAATGCACCTGCGAACACGGGGTTGAACATGCCGACAAGCCTAAAAGTCCTAGTGACCGTTCGCCTCATTGCCAACGCATCGCGGTTCAAGGGACGCGCGAGCTAATCGGCCTCGGAAACCAGAAATTCGCGTTGAAACATAATCTGGGCGGCTGGGTGCAGGGGTTTGGGGCGTTGTGGTTGGCCAGCCCCAGCCACTCACCGCCAGAGACCTATCGATTACGTTGCCAGGCCATTCGACCCATAAACATAGGCGCAGGTGGATCCCTCGACGAGCTAGTTGAGCTGGCTACCGATTCCATCCTTTCGTGACATCTGCAGCTGCATTGCTTTGGACAAGATTTCGCAACCTGCATTCCTCGGAAACCTCTTCGCCCAGACGACGTCGAACCGTACGGCGGCGACAGGAGCTGACGTTCCCCCACCACCGTGAGCTGTCCACACGGACACGCTCTACACTACCACACCACCGCCTGGTCTCAGCCTGCGTGTAATTGCTCCACGGCGCAAGGCTCACATTCGCTATTCTTACGCCTGTCACGACGTTACGACTCTCTGTTTCCAGTTCATCGTTGCTTACCTGCGTTGTTAGCGAGATTCCGGGTTTCTGTCGTTACCTCGTCCGTCAGCCTGGTGTGTTTAACGACTTACGCATCTATCTTACGACTGTTTCTGAACGAATTCGCCTTTGATCTGGAAACGAGTCTTCGCCGCAACAATGTCTGGACTTTCGGATCCGGGGTCGAGTATCTACGACTCGGCCACGATGCACGTGGGAGACGGAACATGGGATTCGCAGCGCAACACTTTTCTGCTGCCCAACCTGCAAGGCCCAAACTTTGAGACGATGCGATTGAATGGTGAGAAGGCACGCCCTTAGAAGAAGAAGAATGTACCCGCTGACCTTTTAGGCATGGGCAATCGTTTCCGTAGCATGGCCGGCTACAAGGCTCTCATCACAGCGCACGGCGTTTTAGCTGCCATTGCTTTCCTGTTCGTGATACCGGCAGCTATCTTTATGGCTAGCTTCTACCATCGGAACCCGCGAACCGCATTGCGAGTCCACATCTGGTTGCAAGTGCTGGCAGTTCTTCTCTCGACTGCTGCCATCGTCTGCAGCTTCCAGGCTGTCGGCCTCGAAAGATCCCTGACCAACCCGCACCACGGCATTGGCGTTGCGCTATATACTCTTGTCATGGTGCAAGCTCTAGGTGGCTCTGTCATACACAGACTAGAGAAGGGCAAGGAACGGTTCAAGATTCCTCTCAAACTTATGGTATGTACAAGACACGAGTCATCTCAACAATTACTGACATGTTCAGATCCACCAATGGCTAGGCCGTACTATCGCACTCCTTGGAATTGCCCAGGTTCCCCTGGGGTTGACTCTCTACGGATCACCGCTAGCTTTGTTCATCCTTTTTGCCATATGGACGTTCATCCTAGTGGTCCTCTACTTCGTCCTTTCGTACAGGACCCAACCAGAGATGGACTTTGACGATCGTAGCACCTACGTAACCGACATGACCTACAGTACCAGGAGAAGCCGCCGGACGAGTAGAGGGCCTGGCGTTGGAAAGCTTGCAGCAGCCGGTGCAGCCGGTGCAGGATTAGCCGCGCTGGGGTCAAGAAGATCTCGAAGCCGTACTCGCAGCCGACGTGGCGGTACAGTGATCAGTTCACGACCTGGCTCTCGTTCTCGGCGTGATTCACGTTCTCGTGTCGCCGACTCTGAGTTCACGGAATCCTACTTGAGCGACGAAAAATACGGTGGTGATCGCAACAAGGGTTCCACATGGAAAGATCGTCTTTTAGGAGCCGGTGCCGCGGCTGGAGGCATCTTCGCCGTGAAGAAGCTGTTCACTCGCAAGCCGAAGCATCCTCCAACAGAGACAGGAAGCGATTTCAGTTACAGCCGCCCAATTGAACCCTCCGAAGTCACCCAGACCGACCTTTCTAGACTTGAAGAAGGAAGAGCGCCTGAGTCTCCAGCAAACCGTCGTGACAACTGGCGTCGTGATAATCCGCAAGCATCGGCAATGTCTGGAAGTAATCTACGGAGTGGTCATCGTCCAGCTGGAAGTGTAACATCGATCGACTCTTTCGATAGTCGGACCAGTCTTAGCGAAGAGACCGAGATGAGACCTAGGGATCGATCATATGGACTTAAGGAAGGAGTCGCTTCGCTTGGTGTGGTTGGTTTCCTGAAGCATTCTCTGAGCCGACGCAGTAAGAAGAAGGAAGACGAGCGTGTGGAAGAGATGAGGCAACAGGATGAAGAAGAAGAACGCATCGCTCGCATGAACAGCCAACGTCGTAAGAAATACACGAGCGACGGAACGCCGAGGAGAGGCA